TAGACGTTTAATCGTTCACGGCAAACTGACGAGCGCCATACATTTTGGTACTACCTACATTTACTTAAATACTACAATAAGATAATTGTGGATGCGCGATAAAAGTTGAGGACAATGACAATTCATACATTGCTGCAAGTAGCGGCTGTAGCTAACGTCTCTTAGATGGCGAGTGCGTTTTATAGCCGCTGCTTTACTGTATTACTTCTTTATCTGCCTCACTTAACAATGTTGAAATGAAGCCATTTAGAACTGTTACCGGCATGTATCTTCAATAAAGAATTCAATTAAACCTTGCCTTTCTTTTTGGTTATATCGTCGTTGTTATAAATCAATATGCATTTCATTAAGAATTAATCTTCAAGAGGCTTTAAAAATATTTCCTAGACGAAATTCACTTCACTAGCTATTTTCACGAATGCCACAGGATATTAATATATCAAACCTATGACTATAAAACTCAGTTTTTACTTCAACGTCTCACATGAAACCAAACACAGTCATAACTCAAAATTGCTAAATTGAGAAAACATTATTAGAAAATAATAAAAAAAAATACTGAATGCATCGTATTGCGAATAATGTGATTATTTCTATTTATTATTATATATATAATATTTAGTTATCCTTAACTAAACAAGAATTTAATTTATTGGCTTCATTCAGCAATTTTTTGAACTCTCAAATTGTGTTTTTTAAATTCCACAATTTTGAGTTAAGGCAGTATAGGTTTCAAGTGTGAGATTATAGCCACATAATACATAAGTTTTATTGAATAATCTCTGTTAATATTCAAGTAAAGAGTAAAATTTTAGGGTGCAATTACTGTTGAAATAAAATATTTACTAAAATTCTCAAAAAAACATTCTATGATATAGGATGGAGAGGCGGAAACATGATTGTTTAAATTTTGAAAGCACAAAGAGACAAATAATGTTATGAAATTGAATACAACAATTCACTTATATAGGAGTGGATATCATTTGTTAAGTTTTAACACACAACAGAGCATGTTAGTGTTTCAAAATGACATTTTACTTTACTTGATAGTACAAACATGAGTTTGGGGTAGGTCAATGGTAGCATATAACATAGATTTGAAATCAGAATCATAATAGGATAAGTCAAATGTAAATCAAGGGGCGTCATAACTATATATATCCACTAGATAAACTGTGACTTTTTATTTGTGTTATTACCAAACAATAGTTTTTGCACATTTCTATAAACAATTTATGCAACCTGAACAACAACTGCTAAATCTGCTTTTAAAATACATTTCAAATGCATGGATCTGATCACTATGCGACAATGCCATTCAATAAAACTAGATGAAAATAAAATCGAGATTTTTAAGTTATCGGTTTTTGTTCCGAACCTCTTGAATCATGCTACATGAAAATGCTACAAGCTAAATACTTGTTTTAGGTAAATAAAAGCTCGTTTTTAAAACTCAATGATATAAACTAACTGATTGCAATATTAAGTCAACAAGATGATGATGGTGTTAAGTCTTAAATCTATCTTAAAGTTCAATTTTAAATAAAAAAACATCACTTTGACATGGAATTATTATTATGTAACAAACTGACCTCTATTATATTATATGAAAAGAGTTATCTCGAAAAGACACGCATCTCAGAAACATAATGCAAAAAAACAAATACTTCAAAAATCTTAGTGGATATTTTATGTGATTTTTTTAGGGGTGCACTTACTGATGTTTCCAAAAAACACAAAAAGTTGAATAACTTTTGAACCATCAATTTCCAGACTTCAATGTAGTAATCAAATCAATTGGAAATACTCAACCCAACCTCCTCATTTCATATTGACCATCACTTCTGGACCACCTTGTATATTTACTAGTTGATTGAATGTGTCCAGTCTGCACCAAGCAAAAAGGGCAATTGACAGAAATGCGACGACATCCGAAACACTAACATTGCAGAGATATTAAGAAAACAGCTGCAGTGTAGTTACTCCATTTTGTTTACTCTTAGTGCACACCATTCATCCAAACCACGACAATGTTCCTTGAAATAACAAGGTCAATGACCCTTACCGGAATAATCAAGTGTAAAAAGCTACTGATGATTCTGCGACCCTGTTACGTCAAAGTACTTTAGTTCTACAAGCAATGTCAATGTTTTATTGAGTTCTCGTTTAAACACATATATTTAGGCTATGATCACGGAAAATTGTCAGACCTAAGTCGCATTATGCCATTAAAAAATAATTTATCAATGAAACAATGTAAATTAAAGCAACGACGTAGCCGCTAGTCGTGTTTGTAATTAACACTAAAATACAATCAATTATCAACAAAGAAAATGTATACTTACGTTGTTCGGCTGATGCTTCTACCTGTGTAGACCCTCGATAGCAATAATGTTGTTTAATCTAGAAATCACTTAGTTATTTACAAAAATGATAAAAAATCAGTCTTTTTATAGGTTACTTGTCAGATGTAAAAGTTATTGGCTCGTTTCATTCGGTCGAAATTGCTTGGTGAATGAATGGCTACATGGGAGCATTTTTTTTATTCCTTTGTTACGGCTCTCGGTACTTCGTCTTTGAGCCAAGGGCAGAAATTAATTTGCTCAATGACAATACCTTATGGGGAAGATTACTTATAAATTCGGATAATTTTTACTCTGGGGTTAGAATTTTTTTTTATGCGAATCATCAATCAACACTTAGAGGATGGAAAAATAAGAATCAACATAACGACGTGAAACGATTGATTGTCACTTACTGAATCAAGCTCTTAAACGCAATATTACACAGAATTGTCCCTCTGTTTCGGTCTATGAAAGACATGATACGAAATTATTAGACGAACTATTTATTAATTAAAATATTTTACTCCCCTTTTTTTTTGCTATATTTTTGTGTTTTTGAATAAACTTTTTCATATTTGCAATTATTTTCTTTATTTACCACTAACACGAAAGGGTTGATGTCTAATGTCGTCTGTAGCTGTGCAGTATTTTTCGCCGACAACCGTACAAATTCCTTGTCGCTATTGTGCAACTTTATAATAATACGAGCCCTATACTCCACCTACGGTGGGGTCGGGCTCGGCCTGCGGTGCGTAATCGGTTTCAGATTACGGGGCGTGCTTATGCTCTTCAGTGGCACACTGATTATAAGTACTACGGGCGGTTGATGACGAGGCTCCAGATTCGATCCCTGATTTGAGCCAATTTATAAAAAAAAAATTTTTGTTGGTTCTGATCAGGGTATTCTGGGTATTGCCCTCAGAGTTATCTTTACTCTGGTACTCATAGTACAGGAAATTCCCTAGTTTATCTCTATGACATTCCTTCCAGCACCTCCTACCTATTTCTAAAAGTTTCCGTGATAGAATCTTTGAAATTTGAATGGCGGCCATCTTGTTTATTTGAATATCGAACAATTTTTACTTTCTGCAGAAATTGACCAAGTTGTATCTCATAAAAGTGTACAAAAATCCACCCATGTATTATAGTTTTTGCAGGCCGTTGATCACTCGTTTACACTTTCCATGTTCCTGTCTTCTCCTATTTGATTCTTTGCCTTGGAGCCTATCCGCGAAAAAAGATATTTATAGCGCTGTACGGTATGAATATCTTTTTTCTACCATATCGGGAAGTTTGCGTTCTATTCTTCTAAGTGAGTCAGGATTTATAGCTTTATAGGTATATAATAAAGGCGTTGGATAATTTTCCGAACAACTTCAAATAGTGGATATTTTCAAAAAGCTTCTGATAAATCGGAAATATATAATCCGAAGACACATATTATGTTCTAACTTAGAACGTTTTAAAGTTTTGTTTAGCATTATTCATTAATATAAAATAAAATTGCACGAACATTTCTAAATGTAATTTTCTAAACCCTGCTTGCTAGACTTATTTTCCCAAATTCTCTTATTACGAACTCTTGTATCTTCAACTTTTGACATGTGTCACTCAAATGAGGAAAAAGATATATTTTTCTGCAAAATATGATTTTAAAATGTATTCTTTTCCATGACCCAACACTAGTAGAAACACAAAAAAAGTAAAATCTAACTTTATTTAATATGGAGTAAAATGACAGTTCCCTGCGCAAAAGTGCCCATTTAAACGCTTGCAGTCGAATATTCATCGACAATCAACTGAACGTTGGTTATGCAATGCAATAAATAGTCTAGCAAGCAAGGTTTAGAAAATTACATTGAGAAATATTTATACAGTTTCATTTTATAATTAATGCTAAACAAAACTTTAAAATATATATCCTAACCCAGAATATAATACGAGCCTTCAAAATTATGTTTTTCAAACTTTTCCGGAAAATTCCACCATTTGAAATATCTTTTGGAGTTTTATTTGACGTGAATTATAAAATAAACTTGTATAGTTAAAAGCCAAATTTAAGAAAAACGAGATTTAAAAAGATTTCACAACAGCAAAAAACCTCTCGTTTTCGTACTTCCACTTTCGACAGGCGTCAACGTCAAATGCGGAAAAATATGATTTTTTCAAAGTGGAAATTTTTCCATGTGCGTTCCTCAACTTGGCATTGGCGGGTTTACCGAAATGGTATCGATGGGGTTGTAACATTATAAAGTTCAAGTAACGTACACAGTCATTTTTACTTGACATTGGCGAAATCATCGTTTATTTCGATGGAGCCATAGCATTTAAAAGAAAGAAAAAGACCCAACACTAGTCGTACCTACTGCACTAAAAAGATACTGATTCTATTCAATCTGAATCCAATAAATACACATTACAATATACATTATGCTGTTCGTCTAAATTACAGTGCCCTTAATAATAAAGATATGAATAGGTATGGGTGGGTTACCCGTCCATGCCCGTGGGACACGACGTAACAGAACGGAATATTGGGAAGCTAATAAAAAAACATCAACACATCTCCCACTGCTGGGTATGGGTTTTCTGTAAGATATTTATTTGTCAAAGATATCGAACTACATGTCTTCTAATATGTACCTATAACAATGATGAAGGTCACAAAACAGTAACCGACTTAATGCTTCCACGAGGCGCCAACATAACACCGGCCCGGCCTATCCAAAAACTAGTGCATTTACAGTGTAAAATAAACTCATTTTGCACCCTCAACTCCAAAAAATTATTCTTCAATAAATGTAGGAAGAAAATGTATATTGGACGTTATATATATAATATAATATTGTAGGTACTGAATGTGCGACACCAAAGATCCTAATGGTCAACTACGATTCACTCTTCTGCCTCCCCCGAAGTGCGACATAATTGTGTTTTCTAGTATATAAAGTAGTTTGTGGTGTTTCAAGGTACGTGTACCCGTATAAAATCATTGAGTTGGACCATAGAAATCTGTGAGTTCGACCCTAATTTAACAATGTGTTCAGCAAGAGGAATCTTCCGGCTGATGATTAAACATTGATTTTGTAAAGGATTTCATGAAAATGAAACAAGCTATTACAAAATTAATGTATGTATTTATATGTTAACAACATTTTCTAAGCTACGCACATTCAAGTAGAATACGATAAAGTAAAACCATTATACGTGCATTTAATATTATGCTGTATTCAAAGGTACAGAAACCATATTGCAGATCTATGATCTAAGCCAGTGCGGTTTATCTAGATCTAGACGTACAGTCTATATGTAACATTTTTATGTTTTATTAATATTACAACTGTTGTGGTGCATTTAATGGAGGATTATATTACCTATAATTCGTAATAAAATTACTGTTGATAATTTATCTGTCATTGCAAATGGATTTCGATGTATAATATAATCTAAAAAATACTTATACAGCCATACGATGTCTTAGACGCCGCTTAACTATACTCGGTAAACTTTAGCTTGATTAGAATGGCAGGCCGGCAAAATTAAAAAGACGTAAATTACAACAGCATCTTTCAAATAATTTTTTAAAAATATCGGAATAAAATATTCTTTTTACATAATTACGTGAAACTCATTAAAACACGACAATTGAAAATGACAAATCAATCACTAATATTATTATAGTATATTTTCATAACTTCACACGTTAAAGTTACGTCTGATGGAAAAAAACGTCGAAAATACAGAGTCGATTATCTCATTAGATTATGGTTAACCAGACATTTTTAAAATGTTCCATGTTTTGAGCTACTTTGTATTATTTTCTGCTAAATTCTGTATTCCTTGTGAACTTTTGTCAAAGTCGTATACCATTATTTAGGAAAGCTCGGTTACATCTACGGAGATAAAGAGGAAATTAACATTCATGGGGTGGACTATTAATGAATTATACAAGTTAATTCAAATTATTAACATGATATTAATTTATAATACAGGTTTCAATATGGCATAGTTCAGTAGATATTATTTTATTATTGATTCTCGACTCCACTGATCGTGTCTCATCATTCGTTCGTGAAGTTTGACATGTATCATTCTAAGCATGCTATAACGCTTACTACACTTCTCTATTTCAAGGGAACCTAATTTGAACTTAGGGATGTGTATTACGAGTTAGGGAATTAATGTCCCTTTTTCGGACACCTTATATTATATAAGTTAATAAGCGGCGCCTTAACATGGGCGCCCACACTTGACGCAGGGCCCTTGAAATCGGGTAGTGAAAGGAGTGTTGAAATTTGACAGAGTATAATACCAAGATGGGTATATGCATGTAACTAGTACCTAACTGGTAACTCTAAGGTAATTGTCATTTTGCACCGCGCGCTGACTTATTTTTTGATATCACCAAATTAAATAAATTTCAAAAACAGTTCTATGTATAAACAATATTGATTTTATGCATCTGTACCAGAATAATCACCTCATTATCTTTACACTGCAAACTCATGTTACAATTACAACGTATTTATTTTATAATTTATGATTGATTTATTTGTATTCATAAGAATATGTACATAACAGCGCTTTGTTTATCTATGGCGTGATAGAATTGTATGACCGACCAATCGACCAATGAATAAAAAGAAAATATTAATAATAAATAAATGACTAAAATACAATATACTTACAAGCTACGCAAAGTAAAGGAATAAGTATGATCCCGATTAGATTTGTTTCCATACAAATAATATATAATCCAAAGTAGGCAAATAAATATAAATCAAAATTAACAAACGCAGAGGCAACAAGTTTGTGCCCTTTTGTTGAAACCTAATCAGAGATGTATTATAAAATTGGAATTATTGCGCGATTTGCGCGATGGTCTTTTAAGCTTATTTATATAGGAACCACGTAAATGTGGGACTGTTATTCTTAGCTCTTGTGTTGATAATACTACGTAGTCATTGATCTCATTGGTCGGTCAATGTACGTAGCACTACATAGCGTTTTAAAGAGGAGATTGTCATAATTAGGATGATATCGCCAACTGGGTTGTACACAAAAGTAAACATGGGCAATGAAGTATGACCCAGAACTGAATTACTTGGCCAAATTTTCATGTGTCACGTTATAAGAAAAGAAATTCTTAGTTATGGAAATATTTTTTAAACCTTTCAGTTATTTAATAATAACCCTGTAGTAATAGTGACATAATGTTAGATAGCGCTATATAGCCCTTAAGACTCCAACGTATCAAATTATTGACAACCTCGGACTGAGATAGTCTCAAAACAACCGACCCACAAAATCAATGCTTTAAATTCAAAATAACAAAGCACAAATTGTCTCCAATCAATTATTCTAATATAATTAGACCTTAATTCTAATATCTCTGCATACTCAAATAAATGTCCACTCTATGTGAAAGTGCAAAAGTCGCAAAGTTTGATGGCGTCCTCATTCGTAAACATACTAAGGGACAATTTCTCCACTTTACCGATCCACTACCAGATTATTATCGATTTGATGTAGAAAACCGTAGTAAAATGTTGAAAATGGTTGTCGTAATCGTAGTAGACAAGGGGGTACTGATACTAAATTATAATTTTTTTACATACATTCCACGTTCAATATTAAAATTACAATAAATCAAGCATTCGCTCATTTATCTATCACAAAAATATTTATCACGAAACTAATGTCGCTTATCATGATGTAAGCGAACTTTGCTTTATGCAATGACAAAAAATAACTAACTAAATGCACTAATTAATTATGTATTCTTAATTAAAATCTACATTTTGTAAATACATACACGCACTTGTACAAAGTTCGTCGATTGCTTGTTTTTCAATTGGAACGTATTTAAAATGTATCAATTTTTTTTTAGTCTATGGGGGACTATACAGACATAAGCCATCACATCCCCAGTGGGCTATGCACTTTAAATAACAGATCAGCGTATAGTTCACTATTTTAAACAATAATTTTCGTAAAACTCCATAAATACTTTGGTTATTGAATAATTTTATACAGATTTTACTGTAATTTGTAACCTTTCTGGAAATTTCTACTATTCATACTATTAACGTCGACAAGTATGAAATAATATTTTCGCTTCTGACTTAAAGGCTGTTACGTCCGTAGCGATTCCTCCTACGCAATAACGTAAGCCACAAATATAGGTACATTTTTCGTCAATCTCTTGCTTTTTATGCAGGTTTCTTACGCTCAATAATGGAATTATAACGCGTTAAAAGTAATGGGAATGTTTCAAATTTAATCGCAATACCTCGATAATCACATTTTAGTCCTCTCGATATATTAAAACGGTTCCCCTTAAAGTTGTGAATTTGGGCTTACGATACGTTATGTAGGTGGATCGGTACGTGCACAATATATTTAAAAAATACAATAGCAAATAAAACACAAAAATATTATTTTCAATACCTGAAATATACATTGCAATTTTTGTTCATTGTGACTAGTATGAATCCATAATTTAGGATTTATATCAGGTATTGTAGTATAAATTATCTTAAGTGCCTATTAAGCGAAAAGCGCTACACTATAATTTAGGCGTTCTAGGTGTACTGAGGTATTTTAGTTTATTTTTGTCAATATATTCTTATCCTTTGAGAGACTTGGTGTCTTTACTTACGCAGGTATATAAGCCATAATTTATCATCGCATTCTTAATCAACACAAATTAGACCGACACTATATTGGTTTTAAGAATATTAGATGCAAATATATTATAGTAAACAGGTGGTTTCAATGTAAAATAATTAATTTAAAGCCTCATTTTACTTATGAACACAAATAACTTTTTTGAAAATTCCCGCAATATTTTCCCTATTGGCTATACAAACTTGGATTATTACTTCGAATTGTATAGGAAGATTGGGAAACCGGTTATTTTGTTAAACACCTCATAATAATAATCGCAATGTGCACTTGGCTCCATATAGGCATGGCCAAGATTTATAAGTTGCTGTCGACTGTACTTTAAAGTTGACCACACCTTTCATTACATTCGATGTTTCATGATCTTCACGAGAGCTCTCCGATGGGTGCATTCTGCAGCCATAAATCGTGTATGAAGCTGTACAGGTCATCGCTGACTGCTACCTGTGACGTATGATGATACTATTTAAATGTCTATATTTTGATCATAAAGTCGAATATGTGGACTTTTATGTTGCTAACATATTGACTGCATGTTTGCAGTTAATGCGTCAAGTCGTTATCAACTTCATGCTGAGACCTCTACGCATGAAGTTAAGTTATCAACTACGTGCAGTCGAGGTCTCGGCTGCATGAAGTTGATTACGACTTCATGTATTAACTGCAAACATGCAGTCAATCTGTTAGCAGCCTTAGATGTCAAAGACTCAAATGTAATAGCTTAATAATTATTAAAAGGGGCTGTTAAGAGATTGAGCTTTGATTTTTCGTTTAATAACGCTTCGTAAGAACCATATATTTTTGTTTAAACCACATCTTATTGCTTCGGTCTTCCATTTGTGTATACCTTATAAGGGGTTGGATTTAAATTCCTCTTGATGTCCTGTCGCAGAGTTCGTAAGGACGACTGTACCCTCTCCCGCACTTCAGATAAAGGCTTTGGCATTGTACAAATACGACCTTCCGTCCAGTAAATCTGGAAATATCAATAAACAAACCGCCTTGATATAAACAAGATTTTTTTTATGATACAAGTGACGAAACGAACAAGTCTTGCGCCTGGTGCTAAGTGACACGCCTGTCCATAGTAGTTGCAGTACCACTCAGAGCTTTAAACCGTAAAGATCTGAGGGGTACTGGCCACAGCACCAGTCACCATGAGACATAAGTTGTCAAGTCTTACGTGTATTTATTTTCATCAGCACCTTTTAAAACCAAATGCTCACGTTACTGCTTGGCGGCAGCAAGGAGCTCTACTGCTATTAAATTGATTACAACGTACGTATTTTTGATATTTGTTCAGTATGTTTAATTTCAGACTTTGCATTGAAAATTGAAACATTTACATTCATGAGAGCTAGACACAACATCAGTTATCAGTGTTTAGGTTTAACAAACTGTTTTAATATCTAGGTAATTCTACAGGATTACATGTAAGCGTTTTACAAGATAACCTTTGTTCTTCAAAATAGATAATTGTTGACGAGACATTATAGTCAACATAAAAAAAGTATATATGGTTATAAAAAATCATTCAGATAGAGGTCATTGGCGCAGATAACAACTTTGAAACGGAATATAAAATGGTTATAAAAAAATGTTACTCACGAAAATTCAATAACCATCATAATAAAAATATAAAACGTTAAGATAAAGAAAACAAATTACCTTGTAAAGATGTTCAACCTTGCTTGGGATGACGTAAGCTCGTTTGGACTCTTGAAAGGGATGCCGACAGAGGACCTTCTGACCAACCTCTGGTGGTGGCTCTGTGGACCTTTGTAGAAGGTCGATAAGGGCATGACCGTCTGCGCCAAACAATCGGTAGGCCTAAAAGATATATAATACATACATTAAAATAGATGAAAGATTATCTTGTCAAATAAGATATAAGACTGTTTTAAGCCTCGTTTGTCACAAGACATGTTGCCGCCTCTATCTGTCGTCAAGCGAATAGGGTGAGGGCGGCGAGACAGCCCCTTTTTGTAAGTTTTGATTTTATTGTTTTATTGTTTGAGGTTAATTTAAAAATATGGCAGAGGTGTACAAAGCATTTCAATATAATAAAATCATTACAGAATCAGGGTCTTCAAAATCTCTTGAAAAACGTTTTGAAAAATGCGCATTGAATTGGCTTTCAGTTTGTCGGAAATAACTAATTGTTTGAACTCGTTTAATTTATTATATGGAATACAAAAGGAAAGAAGTTTCATTTTCAATGTTAGTTTCTAGATCGATCCACATAATTCTATTAAGTTGTTTATGTTTTTTATTATATCCAAAATAACATCTATGTTGGTATAGAGCTCTATCTCAGAATACCATTGTCTTGTATAGGAAGATTGGGAAACCGGTTATTTTGTTAACTATACTATACTCTGTTTATATTGTGTTAACTATTTTGTGACAATAATAATTATTATTATAGACATTAAAGTGTAGGAATACAATTCTCGGAGCAGATTAAGGTTTGTTTGTCGGCTGTTTGGCTGTACTTAATGAGGGTATCGACGTTCACGTTACTAATGCGTAATCAAAATAATGTTGACTCCAAAATTAACTAAATTAAAACAAAACCACATCTGGGCCCCGAGTAATCTGCTAATTTTCTTCAGGTCATTGTAATTACCTTGAGACTCCACTGAGATTACATTGCAAATGTATATATATATATATATATATATATGCATATATGAATGTTGTAAAATAAGTCATCAACCCATTCGGCACTCATTCCCATTTAGGCATCATTAAATCTGTAAATATTGTAAACTTTTCCTATTTCCTATACGGGTGCCATTTTTATAGCCGTTTCCATTTTTTAATATACAGTGTGCCCGTTATTTGGACAACCTCAAAATTGCTATTCTGTTCGGTTAGTCTCGGCCTCGATATAGTAGTGCTATTGATCTCTTTTCTAAAAAAAAAAATAACACTGCACTATATATCGAGTTCTAAGGTTTTCGTGATTGTTACACATAGGAAATGAAACTATTTTTCTGGATTTAAATCGCGTATATTTGTTTTTTCAAACAAACGGACGTTTCAGGCCCTTTACAGGTCCCATGGTCACGGTTGACTGAGGTGGTACAGTCTTTAACCAGTTATGTCTAATATTGATGCAAACCACCCTATTTTTTCACTATAGTTACAATAGTGGCAAAGGTACTGTCACCATTGGGAAGGAACACTTCTACACATGTGAAGGATTCATACCATTTCCTCAGTGGAATTAAAGATCTACGGTTAACTGATGACGACATCGTGGTTAGTTTTGATGTTCAGTCGCTGTTTACCAACCTACCAGTAAAAGACTGCATTGAAATTGTACGTAGAAAGCTAAGGGAACATAATATGTCTATTGAATATGCAGAATTATTAGAACACTGCCTAACATCAGGCTATCTGTTGTAGAATAATGAATTCTACCTACAAATTGACGGTATAGCGATGGGCTCCCCGGTATCTCCCGTTGTTGCCGATATTTTCGTGGAAGACCTCGAGGAGCGAGTTTTACCCATGACCCCAGCTAGGCCGAAGATTTTCAAACGGTACGTTGATGATACTTTCACAATATTACCTAAAGATAGCATACCTTCTTTCTTGGACCATCTTAATTGTTTTAGTACTAAGATCCAATTTACTATGGAACAAGAGAATTGTGGTACTTTAGCTTTCTTAGACGTTTTAATGAAAAGAAATCCTAATAACACCTTAAACCATACTGTATTTCGAAAGAAAACCCACACAGATAGGTATCTCAATGGTAATTCCCATCACCATACTAGCCAGTTAGCTATCGTGGGCAAATCTTTGTTTCAGAGAGCACATGGTGTCTGCGACAGTAATCTTCTGGCAGGGGAACTTCAGCATATAAAGCAAGTCCTGCATGCGAATAAGTTGAAGATTCCACGCCAATGCCGCAGGCCCCGTATGAAACCACCAACAGTCGAGCGAAGACCTGCCATCTTACCTTACCTGAGAAGTGTTACAGACAAGATCGGAAGAGTCCTCAAGCGTGCATCTATCAAGACCTATTTCAAGCCCCTGAGGAAGATTTCTCAGTTCCTGAGACCCGTGAAATGTAACATCCCCTTACAGGATGCAGGAGTTTACAAGCTTGACTGTGAGTGCGGTCTCTCTTATATTGGACAAACAAAGCGAAGTATTTGTACCCGCGTCACAGAACATATAGCTGATGTCAAACACCGTCGCGTAAACAAGTCTGCAGTCTGCGAGCATGTCATGGATAAACCTACACATTTAATGAAGTTTGACAAACCCGAGGTCCTTGCAAAAGAAGTCCGTTATCTACCCAGGATGCGGTGAGAGGCCATTGAAATTAAAAAACATCCTAATTTCATCAGGGAAGATGGTTTCTCCGTACCACCAGTTTGGGATCCAGTATTTCCTCTAATGAAAAATCCCAAACAGACATAAGGCTGCAGTACTATTTAATATGTTTTAGTTTATTCTAATTTCTATTATTGATTAATAATAAATTGAACTTAATAAAAATTCATTCAATAAAATAATTTGTAAAACTTAACGTAGCGTAAATTGGAATGTTTTCTTCGTAAAATTAAAAATAAGGTATTTAATTAATATTGTAACTATAGTGAAAAAATAGGGTGGTTTGCATCAATATTAGACATAACTGGTTGAAGACTGTATCACTTCAGCCAACCGTGACCATGGGACCTGTAAAGGGCCTGAAACGTCCGTTTGTTTGAAAAAACAAATATACGCGATTTAAATCCGGAAAAATACTTTCATTTCCTACTGCACTATATTTTAATTTTTTAATGTTGATTAAACGAGATAAAAACTAAATAGTTCAATTTACTATACACCGCCATTGCAAATTTTTGGTATTCTGTTTTTCAATGGCGAGTCGATGGCAGTTCTATGGGGTACATCATATGCATTACCACGCACGGTACGTCGTAATGCATATGACGTACCCCATAGAAGTGCCGTCGACTCGTCATTGAAAAACAGAATACCAAAAATTTGCAATGGCAGTGTAACAGTAGGTCGGCGGCCAGCCACTAACTTAATTTTTAGCAGAATACCAAACATACAAAATCTTGCCATTGACACTATCGAAATACAAGTGAGATGATTAAAAATTGGACTTGAGGCCCTGTATCCACGTAGAAAATCATAATTTCACCAAATTCTGACGATATTATCGTCCTTCAACAACAGCATGCACCGTTTTATTTAGCTACGTAGCTGAATAATAGAAAACAGTACAGAATACTTGCATTTAAATTTATGACCAAATGATAAATACATTTAACTCGCCACGAGTCGTAGAGACACACGGTGTCCGTATTTTGCCAAAAAAAATGCAATAATTTTTTTATAATTTTTTTCAATGGTGCATGAAAACAGCTGCGCATTAGATATCGTGTGGCTCGAATATGCTACAGTACCAAAATCATTACAGTTACTCTATGTCTCTACGTCGTGACGGGTTACAGAAAATAACAAAAAGAAATGCAATTTGATACACAAAAATACACACAGAACCTACCTTTAAACAAAAAATAATAAAATATATACAATTTAATATAATTTTATTGTAAAAATAAATTTTGAGCTATGGCGCCCAATTCAGCATAAATACCAGTGTGTGGCAGTGTGAGGGGTCAATGCTGTCATTTCTCCCCTCTCTTTGGGGTTTATAAATCTATGTTACGTTTTCACACCTAAACCGCTGAACCAATTTTGATGAATTTTGGTATAGAGATAGATGAAACCTACGAAAAGGACATAGACTACTTTTTGTCACAAAAATAAATCTTAAGGGGGGAAAAAATAGGGGATGAAAGTTTGTATGGAAAACAACTACGAAAATTAGTTTATAGTACAGTAGGCTACTTGTAGTACTTATTCTACGCAGACGAAGTAGCAGGGACAAGCTAGTATTCTATAAATGCATTCCTAGCTGAAAAGTAAAGAAATAGCTCACGTCGTCAATCTCGCTTATTAATTACGCATATTAGTTATAACTTTTATTTTTTAAACTTACCAACCATACTACATTTTATCATAAGGTCTCTTTGTATGCCTTTTTGTAATGTATGTACAATATGGAAATAAATAAATAAGCACAAAATGTATTTTCAATATTAAGTTTGCCGCGTAAATGTACGCAGTACACAATGAACCTAGAGGCAAATTTTTTATTGTATCTAAGTTGAATAACATATTTCAATGCACAAAGATATAAAAATTATATCACATAAGTATACCTACCTACATCTAGAGAGAAAATTAAAAAGCATTGTTTCGGTTCTAGAGCGCATTGTGTTGTTCGACTGTTACTGTTACTGACTAAGAACTTCACATATCTGGAAATGTGAAATGAATCATTGCATTTCCTATTAACACTTTTTGCTAGAATATTTGAACGTTGAACTCTATATTACAATCAATTAATTTTATTATTTATCATCGGCATCGTCTCTATGCCTTATCATCCTTGATATATTTTTGTATATTCTGTCCTACATAGATTATTGAGCGGCACGTTTCGGCACACTACGTAAGTAGGGGTATATACAATTTTATTGTCCAATGTCGTGTTTGTTTGTATATTATGCAAACGAGTGCTATACTAGTTCTTGATAAGGACAGCTTCAGATCATTTTATTGACTTTTACACGCGATTTCTCTATAGGGTTCAGCAAATGCCCAACAAGTATTCCTAAAGATTCTAAATTTATTACGAGTCTAGGAGTCCTAGCAAACGATTAGAGTTTCGTGCAGGGTTCGAAATTATTAAGATATTTATTTTCTTTGATTTATATTAATGATAATATATGTACCACTTCAACCCTGGCTTTATGATATGGCAATAAAATATGACAAAGTATGAGAATAACTAAGAACTCACCTCCTTATGTCCTGGTATGGTAACTTTACCGACATCTTGACTCAACTTGATACGCGGCTGTCCGTTAATTTCTACCAGTTTATAAACGCATCCTAAAGCCGGCTGGCGCTGGCATGTCACTGAAACGAGAATTAAACGTTCGTACGTTCCATTTAACCTAAATTACTTTGTATTTTTATGTCTGGGAATTTTATGTTTACCTAAATGTGTTCCGATGCCGAAACAATCGATCTTATGGCCTTGTTCATTTAAGCTCAATATGGTGTCTTCGTTGATGTCATTCGATGCCACGATAGTAAGCTTGGCAAACCAGGATAACTTGAATGATTCGGCAACTTTTTCGAATGTGTCTCGGGCCAATACAGAGAGATAAGCCAAGTCTCCGCTGTCGATTCTAATCCCGACCGCTCGGTAACCACAGTCGTTAAGCGCGAGAGCCACTGCACAGAAGTTTAGAAGTCCACTCCTGTTAAGGAAAATATATTTCAATTTGTTTACAGCAATCGAATGCAGCTAAATTTAGGCAACTGGTATTTTGCATATCTCAGCTAATCATGACTTTTTAATGATTCAAATATTACATTAATACCGACTTACATTGTTTGCAGTCATTAAAATTGTAAGAATAAGAAACCAAAATTATAAATTGATAATACTTCATACGTAGTGTATAAACGATGAACGTACGCAGTAAACAGTCGCGAATCGTTGTTGATACCAAGCCCATAGAATTCGGTGTCAGAACGTGTCCTGGGTTTTTGTTGCGTAATATTCCCACAAATACCTCAAACAGTTGCGTAATTTAACTGCACCCGCATATTGCGCGACAACCAGTATAGTAAATACTTTGTGTATTAGTTCACAGACTACTGTTACTTCTAGTTTGTGGCAGTGGCACACAACACATCTATGAATACCAGAGTAAAAGAGTGCGTGTTATTATACCAGCCTCTACATAAGCATGTATATACCGTTGGTGTTGGATGCAGTAAATGCAGCTATGACATCACCAATTACAATCTAATCTTGTATTGGACGCTGTCAATTTAATTGACTAATATGGAATTAATATCGGTAATGGTACTAAATCTATGTTATCAATCTACTCTACACAAATCAAGTGATAGAGAAATAAAACATGCAGTATGTACATCATTCCTGTATCCAGAGCTTTGTGAATGTGTGCGTTATCCCATACAATGCAACTGTGCCCAATGACTAAAAACTGTCCCTAATTCTGTTCATAGGTCCAGGACAATACGTCACACTGAAGCAAAATGTAATTTTTTTTCGGACGCATACTTATTTACATTCGGTCGTCCATGAAGCGCCGTCCATATACGCTTCACTGAAAAAGCTAAATAAAATACATTGTAATCTACAGCTATGAATCTGTATGTTAGGATTAAGAGCCCCGAGTTGTCTCCCTGTGTTGTTAGAGTGTGCTCAGAAGATGTTCAGGGGTTAACCCGCCCGTGTGTGAGTCGTCATGCTCATCCTAACGATGAATTGTAAAATGAAAGTGGCAATGACTGGCGAGTGCCAGTTCTTAAAAATAATCCACATAACTTAGACAGAAAACGAACAAGGCAAAACAATACGACAAAATTTATCAGACATCAAATGTTGACTCGTCTATTGACACCTTTACCTCAGTGTGCGTTCAATCGTGCTATATCCGTATGTACTATGTATACTCGGTGAGTTTTGTATTCTAGGATCATTGGTTCCACAGTTGCTATTGTAGCCAGAATGCCCATTCATACGCTGCCTGTGTCGTGACTGTAAGCCTTGAAAATTATACCTCTTGACATCGTACGTATCCACTAGAGCCAAAAATCCGGAAGGGAATGCTAGGGCATATGATATTAAAGCGGCAAGTTCGCCTTCGCTCGCCGCCTCCGGCGAGATGTCTATGATGGAGGACACGCGTTTGCGCCATTCGAGTGCCAATTCTAAAAGGTTGTACTGTTTCTGTGTCTCCGCGTGTCTCAATATCACTGAATGCATATCGTCCAGAGTACTGAATGACGTCACAAACGAATGTGCATGCGTCCCTTTCACTGGTATATTAAACATTTTGCCAGCCAACACATTGCTTGTTCCATCAAATCCGCCTGAAAATGGAATTACATAAATGAAAGCAATTTCAAACTTATAAGGGGAGAATCATGTTTCACATTGTTTTGTGAAAGTTTCAGTAAAGTTGTTCAATGGTTTATGCAAGGCTGACAGGCGCAAATTATGTCTTAAAAGCAAAGGAGAACACGAAGACAACTTTGGCATGAGTAATGGGGTAACTCGGGGAAAGTGTTCAAGGGCAAGGTTCGGGTAACTTGCATGATTAAACAGTATTTGGAAGTCGCTATTGGAGGCTTCTTATGAGTCAATAACGCTGTGGGGTGTGCTATATTGCACAAGTTACAATAGGGCGAGCTTGTGCCTGGCACGAAACAGGTCGGTTTCACCAGCGCCTCGGCCGCGAAAACACGCTAACACAATCAATAAGTATAAAGACAAGTTAATTTTCGCTTTTGTTATCATGAAAATGAGCATTAGAGTTCTGAAAGCTTTAAAATGAGATCGAACCGATGTAGGCGTATCTCGAAGCTGATAATCCTCCGTCAGGTCCCTGTGCGCGCCGTAAGCCGAATTCTAGTAACGAGACGTTTTTGCCAGCTACCATTCGATAACGCGCCGCATTAGTCGCCATCAAGCTAGAATACATAAGGATATATGTTTTCTACAATAATGAACTTAATGTAGGTTTACTAAATAATAAACAGATTCCAATTTTGATTCGAATAATAAATAATCTTTAGGCATTTTCCACTAGTGTTAATAAGTTAATTGGAACAAGAAATAGGCGATTCTGTAATTTTATTTAACTAGTACACCGTGACATCAGATAAACTTGAACAAACTAATAAAGTAATAACAAAGATATCAGTATGCAACAGATTACAATAACGTGAAGTAGGTGTAGTTAATGGCATATTCAACGTTTAACTCCTTTTATCTACGATCCTGCGGGTTAGATAACGAATTTAACACAAACTTATTAAATCAATTTGAAACAAAAAGATGTCCCCTATACACTAAGCAATCACGTAATACGTAAATAAACTAAATAAGTAATTTTCTCTATATTTAAAAATAATTACATGTAACGGAAATTACTGCGGTCGATCTGGGCTCGGAAACAATTTAATTTTTTTTTTAAAATAATGCTAAGAAACATTTATATTTCTCATTCGCTGCGGATGTCCTTATTCTTGCCTATAATAACTATACCACCAATATTTTCTATTAAATACACCTCAGACGCGACGCAACGAATGAACACAATATGTGAATTACATTACATATAAAAAAAGAGTTCGCAGAAAAGTTGTCGACCTACATAGAAATTAATTACAATAGTTAAAACGTTCCATAATCAAAAGGTTTGCTGTGTGCTTTGCCAACAGTTCACTCATCAGACTCAGACTCTTATAATAGGGGTTAAAGTATGAAATTGCCGATTTGTACTGAAAATCTAAATTGTTTATTTTTTAAATTTTTAACAAATTTATTTAATCAAAATAGTTGCCATTATTATCTATACATTGCTGCCATCTAATGGGAAGTTATTAATGCCTTTGCGATAGAACTCCGACGATCTAGACTGCACAAACTGTGTGAAAGCATTTTGTACTGCCTCCTGGGAAGAAAACTTCTTGTCACGTCGATAATTGTCTAAATCACGAAAAAAATGGTAGTCCGTTGGAGCAAGGTCTGGTGAATACGGAGGATGACGAATGGTTTCTAACTGCAGTTCCTGAAGGGTCAAAATGGTTTCTCGTGCTGTGTGAGGTCTCGCGTTGTCGTGGAGCAATAATGGTGAAGATCGATTCATGAGTCGGGGCTGTTTTACTGCTAGTTTTGTCAACATGGTTCGGAGTTCGGCACAATAGACATCTGCCGTTATTTCTTGACCAGATCGGAGAAAACTATAGTGAATAACACCATGCTGAGACCACCAAACAGTTACTATTACCTTTTTATTGGTAAGTTTTGCTTTAAGACACTGTTGTGGCATTTGACCTGGGGTCAGCCATTGCATTTTTCTTTTCCGGTTATCATAAAGAATCCACTTTTCATCACATGTTACAATTCGATCCAATATTCCTTCATTTCTGTACCGGTTCAACAAGGCAACACAAGTTTCAACACGCGTTTCTTTCTGCAGATCAGTCAAATCATGAGGCACCCATTTTTCGTATTTTTTTATTTTATTGATTTGACGCAAGTGAGTCAATATTGTGGGTAAGGTAACGTTAAACCATGCCGCTAATTCCTGGGTAGTTTGACTAGGATCGGCTTCCACTATCTCTCTTAATTCATCGTTATTCACCTGTGTGGGCGGTCTTCCTCGTGGCTCGTTCTTTAAGTCGAAATTTCCATCACGAAAGCGTTTAAATTTAAACCAAAATAGCACGGTGCGTTCATTTGTAGACCCCTCTCCAAACGCAGCATTGATATTGCGGGCTGTTTCTGCCGCGTTAGTTCCGCGTGGGAACTCGTATTCAAAAATCACTCGAATTTTCGCAGTATCCATCTTTCTTGTCTAAATTGAATAACAAAAACAATTGAAAGTCGATATTCAAATGTTTCAAATTTAAAAAAAAAAAATCACAGAAACCATTTGAAAAAAGTTTCATTCGAAAACCTCAAACCATGAAGATTCTATGAAAATTCAAAGAACCTATTGCAATAAAACGGCAATTTCATACTTTAACCCCTAACATTGCATGTACATTGTAATATATACATCACAAGAGTACATTTATAGCAAGATCGTGGATGAAAAATCTATTCAAAAGTAATTACTTTAATTAAAGACATTACACAGGGTATAATTAAAAATATAAAACCAGACAACTAAAAGTAAAAAATTTACCTAAAGTAACAATAGCACACAAAGAATACATTGACATTATGAGATACTCAATTATTCTCGACGCAACTTACCTTGCAAAGTTAACCAAGGTTAATAAGGTCGTTTCTAACAACTGAGCAATTATCAATGGACCTTCTACTCGTAGCAGAGGTACTCTGGAAAGTAGAACGAAGTTTACACCCATTTTTCCATTCCGGTAGAACTGCTTTTGCTTGCGATTGTATTGCTTAGTTCAGCGTCTATTTCACGCAATAACTTAATTGTAGATATTAAAAATTATACTTTGAACTATTGTACTGAACTATCATCTGAAATCCTAAGTTTCATTGTTAATATATGCCATATAATATGACGTATCCTTGCTACAACAAAGCCACATGTGATGATAAGTCAGAAGCGCTTTTATCACGTGAAAGTCTAAAGTAAGTAAGTATTTTATATACTACATGGAACAAACTTTGCAGTGTTTCCCGATGGTCAAATTGGTGGTCAGACTGGTTAGGTAAATGGAATTATTTTTCCATTGTTCAGATTGATTTGAATGCTGGCGGTTCGTCAGGATGACATAGAAAAATGTAATCAGGGTCAAAATATTTTTGCCTTTTATTATTTGGTATATGTAAAATTTTATAACTGTCCTATTTGAGTATTAATTAGTTGTCGGCTTATTTCGTTAGTACAATCTTTTAAATGTCTCCTGAAAAATTGTCATTTTTCAGTTGTGGCTTTATAACACCATACTATATCTATTATTGAATATTAGAATTTTCCCGCTCACTAGTTTACTACTGCAAGTAACTTTAAATAAGTTTAAATCAAAATTTCTTCTTTAACTTTACTTATGATAAACAATAGCAACATTGACTTACAAATAAAATAGCAATCTACAAATGAATTAGAAAGCGTCTATAAAGTCGGTGTCAAATTTCAAGGGGTTTATTCTAGAAATCAAAACATTCCATACAAAACATCAAACAGACATCATTGCATGTAATTGTTTTTGCAAGTTTCATATGAATTATTTTTCTGCAATCTTATCAAAACAACATGTTTTGTTTTGTATGTTCAGAATAAGCTTCTTGAGTTATGGCGTCAACTTCACCACCGTGTTACACCAATACTGCAAATATTATAATATAATTGTTATCTCTATTACCAATACGTAATATTTTGCTTCTATCTCAACTGATAAATTAAAATTTGTCATTTGTATTAAAATTATTTTAAATATTTCAACAAATAACTCTCGACAGATTAAAAATCTCAAAAATTCAAACCTGGGAAACACAACAGAGCCCTCTTCTAAAGCACTTAATTTTATATCCTTACAAGTTAAGTCTTTTAAATAAGCGAAAAATTCTGGTTCAATATTATCTGGTAAGGTTTGCATCAAATATTCTATATCTGAAACAACAATCTTAAATTAATCTTATTCAATCCATTCCGTGTAATTAAATTAAATTCCGTGAAATCAATAATAGGTAGGTAATCATAACTCTAGATGTTACAGTAGGTACTGGCGATATTGAGTATTAATTATTACTGCTATAGATCTACAATGAACTCACTGAATCATACATCGCCCCGCTCATGGAAGAATGGCATAAGTGAAGTTACGTCAAACATGTTTATTGCTTCATTATACAGGGTGTCCCAAAACTCAACGTCAAGCGGGCACTGGGTGAGAGGCCAGGTTATATCAGTTCTCGGAAAAATAAAAAAAAATATCTTTGTCACTCGGGAAAGTAATAATAGCCAATTTTTGAAAATGTTAAAAATCGATACTCTAGACCACATTTAGAGGTACTGTCACCACAAATATTCATATTTTGCAGTGATTTTTTTTTTAACATCATCCTTAATAACCAGGCTATTTATTGCATTCACAAATAAAACAGTAAACTACATGAATTCAGTAAAAAAAAAAAAAAGTTTCATTGAGTCTTAACTTTCATAAATTATGTCAGCTAACTTTGGCACTTCATATTTAAAAAAAAATGTACTATACTACCCATGGCACGTTCTGTGAAAAGTTGGCGCATCTAATCAAGATTTCAGAATGGTACAATAATTGCCACTTTTCGCATCATAAATACTATTAATTTTTTTTTTTTTGCAAAATGGACCTCGTTTCAAAAAACTCATACTTTGATAAATAATACTTTTGTATGCTTAAAGATTGACTTTACCGTCGTGTAAGTGAGATGGCCGTATGTGATAGAGTGAGATAGTTTGTTTAACATGAATTAGAGCTGTTTAACATAAATTAGAGTGAGTCAACTTAATATTAGTCGATTGTTGTATTATAAGAAATTTTAATCGAAATGAAACGAAAGAAATTATTGTAATTCTTTAATTTTACAATAAATGCTCAAATTGTTTGCCTTCGGCATAAATACAGGCTCTGCATCGCCTCAAAAAAGATCTTTTTATTAATCGTCCGTATCTTCTTAAATTAAAATCTTCTGCTGCTTCTACAATTTTGTTGCGCAATTCGGCTAGATTTTCTATAGGTTTTGCATATACCTTACTCTTTATGAAGCCCCAGTAAAAAAAATCAAGGGGGTTTAGGTCCGGAGAACGAGGAGGCCACAAAATTGGACCAAGGCGCCCAATCCATCTTCCGGGATATTCCGTATTTAAATAATCATGTACAGGGCGAGCATAATGTGCTGGGCAACCATCTTGTTGCAACCACATTTCTCGATAGATGTTGAGTGGTACATCTTCTAATAAAGTTTGTAAATCGTTTTGGAGAAAATCCAAGTAATTGTCGCCATTTAACGTTTCGGGTAGCTCAAACGGTCCAATTATTTGTCCATTTAAAATTCCGGTCCACATGTTTACTTTAAATTGGAATTGGGACCGGTCTTCACGCATTAAATGCGGGTTTTCCATGTGCCAAGCAGGTAAGTTGTGTAAGTTTAAATATCCATCTTTTTTAAATGTCGTTTCGTCAGTCCACATAATTTTGTTTATAAATTGTGGATCTTCATGGTTTCTCGCCAACATTGTTCTACAAAAATCCATTCTGAGAGAGTAGTCACTTGGTAACAAAGTTTGTACACGTTGCACATGATACGGGTGAAATTTCAGCTTTTTTAAAATTCGATGAGCAGTACTTTTTGGTACTCCAGTGGCTAATTCAATCCCACGTACTGAAGTGCTGGGATCATTCGCAATTTCTCCTAAAACTACGTCCTCGTAGTCGTCCTCTGCTTCAGGTCTTTCACCGCTCCTACGTGTACTAGGCAATCGTCCTTCCATGTATGCCTGATGTACATTAAAGAACACGCGGTGATCTGGGTAACGCTCTAAGTTTGGGTACCTTTCGCGAAATAATCTGGCTGCGGCAGAGCCATTACCATGGCATTCGCCATAAATAAGATGCATGTTCGCATATTCTTCCGCTGTGTACAGTTGCGGCATCTCGAGTCCAGGGAAACACAAAGCCAAAGTCGTCAGTACAAAAGTTACACGATTACGATAGATGCACAGTAAACGAAGGAACGTAGCGTACTAAATGATAATAACCAATGATCAATAATAGAGCATCGGCGTCACTAGCCGTCTCGCTCATGTTAAACAGCGTCACTACTTATCTCACTCTATCACATACGGCCATCTCACTTACACGACGGTAAAGTCAATCTTTAAGCATACAAAAGTATTATTTATCAAAGTATGAGTTTTTTGAAACGAGGTCCATTTGGAAAAAAAAAAAATAATAGTATTTATGATGCGAAAAGTGGCAATTATTGTACCATTCTGAAATCTTGATTAGATGCGCCAACTTTTCACAGAACGTGTCATGGGTAGTATAGTACATTTTTTTTTAAATATGAAGTGTCAAAGTTAGCTGACATAATTTATGAAAGTTAAGACTAAATGAAACTTTTTTTTTTTACTGAATTCATGTAGTTTACTGTTTGATTTGTGAATGCAATAAATAGCCTGGTTATTAAGGATGATGTTAAAAAAAAATCACTGCAAAATATGAATATTTGTGGTGACAGTACCTCTAAATGTGGTCTAGAGTATCGATTTTTAACATTTTCAAAAATTGGCTATTATTACTTTCCCGAGTGAAAAAGATTTTTTTTTTTTTTTTCCGAGAACTGATATAACCTGGCCTCTCACCCAGTGCCCGCTTGACGTTGAGTTTTGGGACACCCTGTATACAGAAAAATATAACGCACATCCTCTCCAAATCTTGTAACTCTATCTACTGATATTGTAGATAGACTTACATGACTCTCTCCTCTCTGTATCTAATGGAGCAATGAACAAGTTTGCGTAACTCCACTTATGTCATTCTTCCATGAGGGGTGCGACATGTATAGGGAGATAGACCTCTGTGAAATGTATATTCTTGAAAAAGAAATAAATTAAAAAAAATGCAACATATTACAGAAAGCCAATCATATTTTTTTTTAATTTACAATAAGTAAGTAAACCAGAATAGAAATAATTTATTTGTAAATTATAATAACTTACCACTGTCAGAATAATGAAAGTTCTCCAAAAATTTAAGGCACTCCTCAAGACCGGCAAATATGGTGAATTCACCGTGGAATGGGTTTGCGCGGAAAAACAAATCAAAAACAGCCACATCATTTGTTTTTCCAGATTTCCAGTAAGCATAGGCCATTGTTATCTGGTACAAATCTGAGAAAAAAAATTAAGTAAGGACACTTACTTAATTACAGATACTATTTAGTATTCGGACATAATTAAGTGCATATAAGAAAACTTAATACATATAAAATTATGTTCATTATTCAAATAACTTTCACATCTAAAAAATATATCACTACAGATAAAGTAACTGTCTAACAAAACTAGTATCATAAATAATTTTAAAACATGTATCAAAAGACCTCTGCTAATTTCTAAGTGTACAACGAAAGTGTTCATTTATTAACAAAAAATATGGTTACATAACAAAAATACTGATTGCACATCAATTTAAATTAACTCTAAGCGAAATAACAATTCTTTAACAATATTACTCATTTTTCTCAAGTTGCTCCACAAATTATCTTCGTTTATACAATGAATCATGTACAAAAAAAATGTTTATGATACAACGAATAACACATATTGCATAACATTATTTCAAAAATGTCATCTGATTTACTGAAAATAATCGGGACTTTTTATCTCTTTCGCATACAGCCCTGAGTCTGGTACAATATGAAACTGTGCAAATGAAACTGCCTTAATTTTTTCAAAAATCATAAATGCAGTCATGTTGTAGAGCTCGCGATCCGGCTCATGTATGTTGTTATGGACGGCCGTACGCGTCTGGTCGGTCAGAGCTAGAATTGAGAGGAAAATGAATAATTCAGGAGCTCTGATTGGCCGACCGGCGTAGCGATCCATTGATAGGACCGGTACGGTGTGGAAGACACCGTACCGGTATAAATTTAAGCGAACCCCTCTTCTTTCACTTTGATTATATTCATTCGCATTCTTGCGCTCTTGGTAGTAAGACGTGTTCATGATTGTAAGTCAGATCGACATAAGTTTTTATGAACATACAGTCCACTGCACAAGACTAAGAAGGTTCTTCAATATATGTGGTACCACCAGTAGACGCTAAAAATGTTCTAATAGGACAGAAAAGGAAGCGTGGACGTCCTGCATTAATAATTCAATAAAAGGTTTTTTATTAACCTGATACTATTATGTCCCATTGCTGGCCAAAGGTTAATAAAAGTTATTTTAATTTTTGTAAATTATTTTCTGCTTTTTTTATTTTAAGCTTTGGCCCCAAATTTCTTGTAAGCAATTCATAATATTGGAACTAAATTGAATCTTTACTTGCAAATACAAAAAAAAAATACTACGCTTTTCAAGCATTAGACTTTGTTGCAATGTTTGTGTGCAATTTTAATTTCTATTTGTTGATCTTATTGTTTTAGACAAATTGTACAATTAGAACATTATGTCAAATAAAATGGTGTTTCATTCCGATAGACTGATGTACCTTTTATTGAAATAGGTATTGTTTTTACTCATAATTTGTGGTCATACGTTTGTTGTATGTCAGAAATATTAGATATGTATTTAGATGTTATAAATAAATAAATAAATAAATAAAAAAATAAATAAATAAAAAATAAAAAAATAAAAAATAAAAAAAGATGTTAGATAGGTATGCATTGTGATAAAATGTTATGCATTAATTTTAGCACATAATGCTGAATTAATTTTCTTTTGACGTACATATTTTGATGTGCAATCAGTACTTTTGTTGGGGAAGTGGCATGTTTGGTTGTGAAAAAACTTGATTTTTTGGTGAGCGGTTAAATACTACCCTTTAATATTCTGCACGAAGTTACTTACTTCATTCTTACTTATCAATAGAGTTGTTAAAAATATCACTTTCCATTTCAAATTCAATTAAATGGTCAAATTTTTTTATTGATTGTATCATGAAACGAGGATATGTGGTTTTCACACATGTACAGGTTCAAACTTAATCAAATAAAATTGTTCAAATACAACTTAGTTTCATGTATTACTTAATTACGTAAATAAATAATATTTTTTTATCCTCTTACAAAACATGCCACTTGTTATGACCAAAGTTAATATGTGGCTTGACAAACTAGTGGAGTGGCTCAGGATACACATTCACACAAGGCTATTACTTGAGCCAATTCAATGCACGTGTGGTGGGGGAAGATATTGGCCCGAAAAATTAAAAATCATTCTAATTCAGTGGATTGTCTTTGTCACTGGTCTGGAGATACTCCATAATGGATTGTCTCTATTTACACGACGTCAATAATGGCTTGGCTTAATGGAATGGGTCATCGATTAGCCCCATGTAAATGGTTTTTTACTTTAAGTAGTGATAAATAAACTTTTCACTTCTCATGCTCTTAAAGTTCGTATTTATGCTGGGTGTAGCCTGCATAAAATAGGATTTTATGCTCTAGTGCATAGTTTCCCATATTGGTCCCTACCGCCAGTGGGCGCTGAAGAGTCCTAGGGGGGCAGTATGGGCTTCGGAAACAGTTACGCTGTCCAAAAAAACAAAAAAAACTAAATTGTCTATATAGTATATAAACTATACTACATATATATAACTTTTTTGTTGTGATTTTTTGAGCTAAGTAAATATAAAAAATACGTGTTTTCAATTATTTTTTAGTGGTGGGCGTTGAAATGTTTTCATCTTGGCTAAGTGGGTGGTGAGCCAAAATGTTTGGGAACCTATACTCTAGTGCATAAAATAAAATCGTCGTTTAAGACCGAGGCAGTGACGCCTGCGCCAACAGCTATGCACACTAGAACTTTATAAAATAAAGTTTTACTTTTGTTTTTTAACCGTGTTATATTACAAAATTAAAAAAGTAGGCAATAGTAATTCTAATAAGTTATAACAAATAGAAATGCATAAAAATAAAAGCTTGTAAAGTATAACTAGGCATTATGTAAACCGACCTGAGTCGTATGTAGAAAAAAAAGTAGTACATTGGTGGAAAGCATTGACTTACAATTATAAAAGCTATTATTTTTTCTTGGCAATAGTTGTGTTATTGTTTGTAATATTGTTGTTTAATTTCCTCACAATCGAACTGAAAAGCAGAGTGTATAACTCGTTCATAAAACTCATTTTACACTCGACTTAATATATATATATATATACCCGCCTCGGGTAAAATGACGCGTTTTATGCACTTGTTCTACAATCTACTATTATTGTCTCATTAATTTATACACAACATACAAGTTTATAAGTACCAAACTCAACTTGTTATTGAAACACAGATCCTATTTGATGAAGTTTATGTTACCTCCTACCTTTATAGTCCTAAACTAAATGCGTGATGACCAGAGATCGGCGGAATAAATGTATTCAATGTAGGAAACGAAACTATTTTTTTATAGGATCTAAACATTTACCAAATAAACCAATGTTTCAGGCCTTTTACAGATCCCACGTTCATGGCTGACTGAGATGATAAAGACATCAACCAGTTACATGTATTATGGCAAGCCACCCATTCTTCACTATAGTTACAAAGTTATTAATTGAATACATTGTTATCAAAGAACATTCTACTTTATGCTACATGCATTTTGCCAAATTTTTTTTTTACTTTACAGAAATATATTTAAATTTTAAGAAAGAACACACGTAGTGGATAATATATGAAAACTTATACAAAAGGCAAAAATATATTAATACAAAGATAAAACACAAAGACAAATTCCTTCTACCTGACAGGATTCGAGTCTGTGTCTGTATGCCTTTACTAGGGCCACTCTACCAACTGAGCTACAGATTGAGACAGCAAACCATGCAAATTTCTCTAAGGGTCGTATTCTAGAACTCTACTCAATGCTTAAGTCAGGACTTGAGTATGATTCAAAGCACTAGAAATCATACTCAAGTCCCTGCCATCAGGGTCGTATTTCCAGTGCTTGTGTTGCCAGTGCAATCCTGACTTGAGCATTGAATCGAGTTCCAGAATACGACCCTAAGTGTTTATTCCAAATCTTTTGCATTGGGTTTTTTGGCTTTTATCGCCGTGACATAGCATACATATGCAGGTTGAAGACTTGTCAGATTGAATATAATTAAATAATATATGCTAATGGAGTAATCTCACAAAAAAGAAAATAATATGATGGTAATAATACATCATATTCAATAAAATTAATACACAACTGTAGTCAAGTAATTAACACACACAATCATAGCCTCCCTCTAGAGCAACCCGGTGTCGCAAGTGCCATGGACACACATATAGAATACCATAAATTACATCGAAACTCACGAGATAAATAAATGTAGTCCACACAAAAACACACAATTTCTCCCAGCGCGGGAATCGAACCTGGGACCTCTTTAATTAATAATTCTGTTCTTTCTTTTCTAAAATCTTTAATTAATTTAGCAATTTCTGGGGGTAAGTATTATGCACTTAAATAAACATATTTCTTTTGCCGAACTTTAGTTGTCACTAATTTTCTATAGGATATAAAGTAGGTAACAAAAACTAAATCAAATAGGATTTAGTGTTAGTGTTTTAAAAATATTCAAACTGCAAATTGAATATGTATTTATGATTTGTATTTTGTAAATAAATTTATGAGATGAAAAAGTTAGTTCTATATTTATGGCTCTGGGTTCGAAAACCTTATACAACCTCCATAAGAATAAACGAAACAGTATAATACATTTATAAATTTCACATTTTAAACTTCCAATTTTGCAGTTTAGATTTTTTATTTCATTCTAATAGCTACAAAAATTTGCTGAAGTGTATAAAAATAATCTATAGGCGCCATTTGATATTTTAAAATTGGATAAATATTTTTACTCACCGAGTTTTTTATCAGTGTTTTTGTAACAGGTAACTTTGGCAAATAATTATAAAAACAATAACTTACCTTGACACAAACAATACCTACCTTACTCATAGTTATAACATCTATTACAAATCAAAATTATGATATGTAATTAAACAGTTGAATTCGACAAAACCAAAATTCAAAAGTGTAATCGAACATGTACTTAGTTTTATAAGTATTTTGAGACTCACCTGTCAGGAGGGGTTGCACAATTCCGTTTTGTCGAGCCATTTTCCTTTGCTTACACAATTCTTCCTTAGACATTTTCGCTACCAGTTAATACGCAACAGAGATAATTCCGAACGTGAGGAATGTCTGGTATCTGGTCGACGACTAAAAGGAATAATTTCATTGTGATCAACAACTTGTGCTTATCAGCGCGCCAAACACCATTTGACGGAAACACAAAGTACTTTTGTATGACGGAAAGGAAAATTTACGCATGCGCATTCAATTTTTATTGACTGACTCTACAATAGAGGTCATTTTTGAAGGTCGAAATCAGTTTCTTCTAACTTCTTTCTGGAAATCCTTGAATTCAAAACAAGTAATTACACGTGCGTACTTCATTTATGAAATGAACGAATGAATTGCAGTTTTTTTTGTGCAGATAATTTTTTTTTATTGCATGACCTGGAAACAAAGTCCTTTCAGTCGAAAACATTATAATTATTTATAACAACAATAAAAAAACAGAGGCATCGGCATAAAACAAATTCAAACTATGTTACACAAATAGGATCCTAACAATTAATTTATTAGAGAGTGGAACGAAAAGTAGTGTCAGGGCGCGTTCCCACTATGTCGTAACGACAGATTGTCGTGCAGTTTACAGTGTCGTGGCTTGTATATTTAAATGAAGTTGTTCACACATAGCACGACACGATTAACTGTCGTTTACGATTTTTTATCGTTACAACGATAAACTGTCGTCACAGTGGGAACAGCTAGAACGACAGTCGTCAGACGATAAAAAAGTCACGAAAAAACGTGACGACAGATTGTCGCAGCTCCCATTGTCGTCACGTTTTGTTTATCGCTGTCCGCACGTATTCTGCTCCCTGCCCTCCCCTCTCGTACCCCGCTCCCTCTGCTCGCTTTGCAGTAGCGTTGGGTCATAGCGAGAGATGGGCAAGGAGGCTGTCGTGAAACGATAAATTGTCGTCACGATCTAGTGGGAACAGCTAGTCACGATAGTCATTCAACGATAAAAAATCGTCCACGACAGATAGTCGTGATATGGGAACAGGCCAATCACGACAGTCGTCCAAGGATAATAAAACGTGACGATATAGTGGGATCGCGCCCTCAGGGCACGTAATATTTGATGGCATTTTTTAAACACCGAATCACCGAAGCAACTACGCTTCACTTGTCTAACGAATGCGAATGGCGCGTGAGACGTCTGGCGCTAAGCAACGTAGATAATGCGAATGTGTGCGTCCACAGCCATATATGCCTGTGTGTACGTCCATACATGGTGCACGGTGCGCCACTGGCGATGGCGTACACACATATAAGCCGCGCAGCTACGTTTTATATAGAGTTACAATACTTGTTCATAATCTACTATGCTAAGAGTATGCGAGATGTTTAGGAGTGTCTGTACGTGTGAAGTTGATTTTTTTTAATAATAATAATAATTAATTTATTTGTGAAAACATAGGTTATATAGAACATTTTGTACATGTCAGTACAAAATACGTATATTTTCACTGTGTCCGGCCAAACAGTAGGCATATATGTAGATATTGAAGGTAGGTATACATTCACTCTAAACTTCACAGGCTAAACCAGGGTGTAACATGTTTCGTTTTTCAATAATATTACACGAGCCTGCACCACGTGTGCACGCACACGTGAATTTAATAAATCGGTCAGAATTTAAACGCGATGATAGTTACATGCATGTTACATGCCTCGATCGTCAAAATAATATCGTAACATGAATAACGTCAATAACGTCCAATGTCAAAAATTAGACAATGAATTTAGGGATTTATCCATTGGATTTATCACTTAAAAATTCAGACACTGTTGTTTAATTGTTTTTTAAATAGCATAAGGTTTTTCTCAGACCTTAGTCCTTCTGGTAAATTGCTGTAAATTTTTGGCGCTATTACAAAAATACTTTTCTGCATGAAGGTAGTTTTACAGGCTTTCAAACGAAATTGATCATATCGTCTTGGCTTCAGAGTTCGTGTGAACAAGTGTAAGTGCATCCGGACATGCACGGCAGTTTCGTAGATATAAAGCGAAGGAACAGTCAGTAGTCGAAGATCTTTAAAATATGGTTTGCAGCTATCTGTTCTCTTCAATCGACAAATTGCTCTGACACATCTTTTTTATAAGAACTGAGTTCACATTAGTTGCATTGCCCCAGAATATTATACTGTATCTTAATATGGACGCAATATAACCATGGTATGCTTGAAGAAACGAGTCTCTATCTACAACTTTGCTAAGCATATATAATGTTTACGCATAGTGTTGAGTTCAGTGCAAATACTCTCTAATTGTGCTTTCCAGTTAATTTTGTCATCAATCTGTATACCTAGGAACTTTGTTATATTTGTGTCTCCGATGTGTGTCCCTTTATACTCTACGTGCATCTTACTAGCTATATCTCAACCTAAAATTCATGAGTTTTGTTTTTCTTAATTGATTTTTAATTTATTATCTTCAAGCCATTCTATTAATGAATTTAAACTTGTAAATAATTTTCTCAAACACTTTAGAAAAAACTGGCAGTAGTGCTACAGGTCTATATGATTCTATGAGTTGTTCATTGCCTTTTTTTGTACATGGGTTTAATAACTGTTATTTTCAAATTTTCTGGAAAAGAACCTCTTCAATGCTCATATTATTTATGTCACCTATGATAGGAGAAATTATATCAGCTATGTATTTTAGTACCTTCGTGCATACGTCATCGTATCCTGTACTATTTGTATTTTTTAAATTGCGTATAATTTTAAATATATCCTGAGGAAGTGACAGGAAAAGACTTAAATGTATAATTACATGTATTTTTACTCTTTACTTTTGAATACGGTTGTACTTCTTCATAAAGTAGTTGTTAAATTTTTGTGCTATTATAATATAATATAATTAATAATTTATAAATATTATTATAATATAATATTATAATATAATATAATTAATAATTTATAAATATAATTATATTTATTTACTTTACTTAGTCATACCATTTACTTCTTATCTAAGGACACAGTTAACGTAGAATATTATGACACCAATAAACTAAATAAATTCATTCATTTGTAGTCATAGTGCACAAAAACCTAAAATAAGATAAAAATAATTAACTTTTAAGAAAAAAAAACATTCCTTAGGTACTATACATGGGATAGATTTTTTTGCATTTTTTTTGGAACAGTCTTAAGGCCGGCGCAGACTGACGTCGCGGCACGGCACGGCATGCCGAAGCGCGTTGCGGCATGCTGCGGCATGCCGCGGCACATTCGCTGCGCGCCATACGCCGAAATCGCCGCCGCACTAGTTTCAAACCTTATTTCAATTAGTTTAATTGTCATAATTCTGTGACCGACGTGACTTGCGGGACGTCTGTGGAATGAAACGGCATGCCACGATGTGCCGCGGCATACCGCGGCGTCCTGCGGCATGCCGCGGCATGCCACTACGTGCCGCGGTATAATTGTATCGAAATAAAGTAACATGAATTGTAACCTCGATGAAATAAGGACAAAAATAACTTGATCAAAAATAAAATCCTTTGCCGTGCCGTGCCATGCCGCGACGTCACTCTGCGCCGGCCTTTAAGCTGCGCTATGAGCCATTTCAGTATGATACATTCATTATCGGACAACCTGTTTATTTTATACATAAAATGTACGAAAGTGATTTAGGAAGATTATTGTTATACGATGATGTGCAGTGCGGTCCGTCATAATGTGCGTGAGCCTTTAGAATATTTAGGTATTTCGAGTTGTTTCTTGTTCTCATCAGTGAATTTTTTGTTACGGCCAATCGTACTACAATCGGCCTACAGTGCCTTAGGGAAAATCCGCCACTGCTCTGACGGTAAGAGGCCTGACCGTATGACTATTGTATGACTGACGTATGAGTCCATGGAAGCTACGGATACAGCTAGTGTGGAACACACAGACGATGAATAAAATTCTGCTGAAGTAATTTAGTACATTTACTGTGCGAAGATTTTTAAAACGGTCCCAATAAGGCGCCGCGCAAACGTATGCCTTGTGTTAGATACAAGCAACCGACAGCAAGAAGAGAATTCATAAAATTAGAAATCTACACAGTCGGCAGTCGCCTGTTGCGACAATCGGACACAGTCGCCGGTTGTGGTACTCGAACATTGTTGCCGGTTCCGATAACCGCAATTGTATGAAAATAGAATTCTCAATTCTTTGTAGCATTTATAATAATGTTACATTGTAATTTAGGAATGTTGCTAATTTTGAGTTCATTTATGGGCCCAGTTCGAGATGACAATAAATTCTCAATTATATGTATATAATAGTTAATCATCATCCACAGCCCAATTTCACCCACTGCTGTATACAGGCCTCCCGAAGTTTGTGCCTTCTACTACGGTCCTGTGCTAGTCGCATGCATGATAGTAATTAATATATATTCACATAATTTGTATTTTGTAATATTAAATAACAAAACTTGTAGCTTTGACAAGCTTCTATATTACCTAGTTATTGTAATAAGTACCTATCTATAACATTTACATTATCTTGAAATCTTTTCCATTAACATTATTTTAACATTCGATTTAATTCCGTATTTATTTATTCATTGATATGTTTAATATTATGTATTTATGACATTTATTAGTATTTAAAGTAGTAATATTCTTTAGTTTACATTGTGTAATATTTTTAAAGTCTTCCGCTTAAATATTCGTTAACTGTGTAGTATGCTTTCTTAATTACTGTACAGATAGCTCTAAAAGTTTATTTTTAAAATCTATATCTTTAACAGTGTCTCCTAATTGTTCTGGTAGTTTATTCCACTGTCTCCGTAGTCGAACGGTTACCATGCTGAACTGCCACGCAGAGGTCTACATTTATTTCTCTCGTGAGCCTACCTGTCCATGGCATGCAATACAGGGTCTCCCTAGTGCGGGGCTATGAGTGTGTGCGTTATAAAAAAATAAAAGGAAGAAAAAAACATTTATTCGGCTATTACAAATAAATATACAAAAAATAATTTGTATAATAATAATTAAAAAAAAAAATTATATATTACTAAAACCTACATAATAAAGCTCCATTGAAATGCTGCAGTTCTGTGGCACTGGACAATTAGTCGACTAAGACGCAATTGCGAAGACCTTTTTAATATAACTTTTATATAGGTAAAACGGTTTTTTATGTTTTATTCTACCAAAGAGTAGAGTGGCAAAATGTATATGTACCGACGTGAAGACATATTTAATAGTTTATTTTTGTTAAAAAATACCAATGATTCGTAGGAGATATTGGATAACAAATTTTTAAGCATGCATTTTGAGCTCGTTGTATTAACGCTTTAGTTTTACATAGAAGACGAAAACCATAAACTGTATCTGCATAATTAAATTTAGACAAAATCAAGGATTCCACCAATTTTAACCGTAAATCCGTGCTGAGATAATCTCGCCTCTTATATACCTAAAACTTTTAGGCGATAAAAACTATTACGAGCAACTTCTGCTATATGGGATTCAAAACGTAGGTCTGAATCCATTATGAGACCTAGATTGCGCGCTTCACGGACACCAGTTATTGCTTCTCCATGAATAGTTAATTGAGGTTCTCTCAAAGCCATCCTCGAAACTAGCAGCCTTGAGCCTAATATTCAAAACTTGGACTTGTTAGGATTTAGTGTGAGTGAGTTACGTTTTGATCACTGGCAAATCTTCTCTAGGTCTTTATTTATCATTTCGACTTTCAAAAAACGTTGATTCAATATTGTTTGGTTTGCATGACAGATACAATTGTAGGTCATCTGTGTATAAGTGAAATTTCCAGTGCTTTATGCAGCCAATGATATCTGCAATGTAAAGAATGAAGAGCAAAGGCCCTAAGATAGAACCCTGTGGGACACCACTTCGCATATGGGCAAGTGACGATGGAGACACAGAACCATCTCTCCCACCAAACTGTACATAGAGAGAGCGATTATTCTGGTAATCAAACCATTTTACTGAAGGCTCATCGAAACCATAATATACTAATTTGGATAATAAGAGAGAAATATTTATTGTATTAAATGCACGGGAAAAGTCAAGAAGCTCAAGCACAGTTCCCATTCCTGCGTCTTGAGCCTCCAAAATGTTCCCGTGACATCCATCAAAGCCGGTATAGAGGTATAGAGGTGCTGTGTTTTTTCCTAAAACCCGACTGAACACGTCGCTACTGTTGCTTTGGAGAATTGTTGTACCGTGAACAGTGATTGGTACACGACCATTTGTTTGCCGGAAGTTATTGACAAACTCCGTAAAAATAACCGTAAACGCCGTATTATCTTGCACCAAGATAATGCCAGACAGACACGGCCAGAATGAATTTTTGAAGGTGAACAACGTTGACCGTATGAGCCATTCCGCGTACAGTCCCGACCTGGCACCTTGTGACTTTTATTTATTTCCAAAAATTAAGAATCAGTTACGCGATAAGAAGAGGCTATCGAAGAGTATGAAAAATATGTTTCAAAGATTGTCACGGAGGAGTGGCATATGCATATATGTTTTCAAAATTGGTTCATTCGTATGAAAAAGTGCATTAACGCTAACGGAGAATATTTTGAGAAACAATAAATTCATTTCTGATCATTTATAGTAATTTTTTCTAATTCATTCCGGAAACTTGTAGTGCGCCCCACTTTTGGTCGAATATCCTTAAAAGTAAGTGGATGTGTATTTTTGGGGAGAGGTTGTACGATGGCTGTTCCAAAGATCAGGAAACGTTGAAGAAAGTATCGAGGTGTTAATTATGGATGTTAAAATTTTCAAGGTGTATATGGGAGAGTTAATAGTAACATGTCCAAGAAAATCATATCGATCCCCAGGGCATTAGATTTAAGACTGTTAATAATTCGCAAAATAGATGCTCTAGTAATAGTTTTTAGAGTAAATACAAAATTTCCAGCTCTACGAAGTTTAAAATACTCTTACTTTCAACATAGGTATAAAAAAATAGTTTATTATGTATTGTGTATGTATTATATAGTATTTCTTCAGTCATTGCTAGTGTACTTGATGAGTGTAGTTTGAGTCGAAATGTACCTAGGCATTGCTAATTTATTTTTGTTACACATAATACACATCGCATCGGGTTCTTATCATCCGCTTACAAAAAAAAATCTAGGTGTTTCCTCACAAATTTCCAAGGTAGATAAAAGGTAAAGTGAGTATTTTATGTTTTTTAAAGTAAGTGTTGCAAGAGTCGGTACTCGTAATGTTAACTATGATCTTTATCAAACTATGTACGACAGGCTGGGAGAATCAGTACTGTTTTCCTACGTTATAACACCGTAGCTGTAGCTGAGAAACGTATAATAATATGCGTAAGCATAATACGTTATTAGAGAAGTTTCGAAGTCGGTAGTCTTTTTTATTTGAAGAAAAGCATAAATGAATTTTGAAAGTTTCGATTTTATTTTTTGTATCGTAGTTTCCAATTAATATTAGTTGTTAGTTGTCTATTATAAAATCCAATAAAGTATAATATGGAACAACTTCTAATTTGATACCATTATGACATTGACCTACCAATATTATGATAAAAATTTACTGTAAGCGGCTCTTTTTGGTAAGGTTGGAAAGTCATTATTTTGTTTTAAAAAAAATGAATATTCGCTTCCATATTTGCCGGATAGCTTGTAACCAACACAAGACACACATTTGCGGGGCGCCTTTAAATAAGTATTTGCCCATATTTATTAGAGGTTTTTATCATCAAGTTGGCAAGACCACGTTGATTGCGGCTATCCCCGCTACGTAGCTAACGCAATATAAACACTACGTAGCGCTAACCTCAAGCTGTACAAGGCCTAACTTTATAATAATCGATACCAGTATCCGTAGTGCGCGATAATAAAGTCGCAAACAACCTTTTATTAGAAATAAACGAAAAATGAAAGTTCAAATACAAGGTAGGTATGTTGTATTTTTATTGACAAAATGTTGACACAGAACTGAATCACAATAAGCTTTAAATAAGTACAATGAATTTAGTGTCACTTCTTAAGTGCAGAAGAAACAGATGCTTAATAAAGTATTTTCCTGAAGATACTGATCTATCAGCCATTTGAAAATCTTATTTTTAATCTGAATAAAAATTCTAAGATTATTTTTAACTAACCTGCATTACGATATTGTGTTTCCAGTGAAGTTCAATAGGTAATAACTATCCTATAATTTGCAGTAGGTTTTATGTATTTCAATGCAAGTGTAAACATTGTTATTGCTAACAAGGTTCTAGTTCATTAGGTTCTATCACAACAAACTTGTTGTGATAGAACCTAATGAACATGGTAAAAATGATTACTTCAGTAAAGCATTTTTAGACAGTAATGCAAGAGGTCTGTCCTTAGTTGGATGATCCTTGTTATGGTGGAATAGTAGTCCTCTTCTAGTTACAAACTTCTCCGGGCAGAATGAGCATGTGAAAGGCTTTTCACCAGTATGCTGATACATGTGGTACTGAAAACACAATTATTTGTTTATGAAGTTAATTCATTGAGAACAAATAAAAAAGTGCATGATATTAATTCCATCAGATTTGTACTATTTATCTTATATATTATTTTATCTATCTTAATACTTACAGTGTAGTTGTCCCTCTTCATAAAACTGTGGCCACAAATCTGACAGAAGTACTTGAATATTCCTTTCACATTAGTAAGGCGCACTGTAGGTAATTTATCCTTATTCTTTGATTGGTTTTCCCTTGTAGATCCAGGTCGACGGTTAAGCTTGTACTCCAGACGGCGCCCAGGGTGCATACGATTTCTGTGCGAATAGCAGTTCCCAGAACTGGCAAAACATTTATCACAGAATGGACACTTGTAAGGCTTAGCACCAGTATGCTGGTTTATGTGGAACTAAAACAAACAACATAATGTATGAAATTGTTACAAAATCAAAAGAAAATGTCAAAAAATTATATAATTAAAATAGAAAAATGGTTGATTGTTATTATCAACAAACTGAGGACATTTATAAGGAGAGGATAATTAACCATTCATGTCACACTATCGCATAACACACGCAACCACTTGCGTACTCATGTACAGACACCTCCACACATCACCACACACATGCTTAGAGATCAAATTGTTTTCCATTTTTGGATCCTGCGGCACAAGCCTAGAGCTAATTGTGCTGTAGTCATAACCTTGTCATACGTAACACTTTTTATTATTAATTTCGTTAGCCACCACCATAGCAAAGGTACTGGACGGTCTGCTTGATCGCACTTTGAACAGTCACATGAAATTGAATGATACTCAGTTCGGATTCCGGTCTGGGCTCTCTACTGAGACTGCCATACTGTGCCTGAAGCATACCGTCCGTTACTATACAAACAGGAAGACTCCGGTCTATGCCTGCTTCTTGGACCTATCGAAGGCGTTCGATTTGGTGTCCTATAAGTTACTTTGGAGAAAAATGAGGACTGATACCAGCGTCCCCAGTGAAGTTATAGACGTTTTTGATTATTGGTATAAGAATCAAATAAACGTTGTGAAATGAGCGGGAACTATCTCCGATGAGTACAGCATGAGTTGTGGAGTGAGACAGGGAGGTTTAACATCACCTCGCCTGTTTAACTTGTATATAGATGGGCTTGTCGAGGAGCTAGGCAGGGCACAGGTCGGTTGCTCCATAGATGGCAAGTGTATAAATAACCTTAGCTATGCAGACGACATGGTTTTGTTGGCTCCTTCGATAAGTGCCTTAAGAAAATTGCTTAAGATATGTGAGGGTTATGCCGGGGCCCATGGGCTCAGGCATAACGCAAAAAAAAAGTGAGCTCCTGATGTTCCAGTCTCGGGGTCACAAGATCACTTCAGTACCACCCGTCTATTTGAACGGTGTTGCGTTAAATAGAGTTACGCGATTTAAATATCTTGGCCACTGGGTGTCGGAGGATCTCACTGATAATGAGGACATAGAGAGAGAGCGACGGGCGTTGGCTGTTAGAAGCAATATGTTGGCGCGCAGATTCGCACGTTGCACAGTACTCGTGAAGGTGACACTTTTCAAAGCATTCTGCCAATGCTTCTATTCGTGTAATCTGTGGGACAACTTTACGCAGAAGACAATCAACGCCCTGCGCCAACGTACAACAACGCGTTCAGGGTTTTATTGGGTTTGCCACGGTACTGCAGCTCATCCGGCATGTTCGCGGATGCCCACACGGATGGTTTCCATGCTATCCTATGAAAGAGAGCTGCCTCATTAATAAGTCGTATCCGTTGCGGCACGAATGAGATTCTGCGCGTTGTGGCTGGTAGAGTGGATTGCCCGATCATGCTACATTGCATGAAACTGCATTTAAAACCATGTCGATGATTTATTTGATATTTAATTTAATTTGTTTAATTATTCTATGTTTTTAAGTTGCCTTTTGTTTATTTTAATGTGTGTAAACCTATTGAATTATCTAAGCTAATATTATAACTGTAAAATATGGACTGTAGTTGTCTGAGAATAAATGATTTTTGATTTGATTTGATTTGATTTGATTAAGAATCCATACTACCTCAGCTCGAATTCAAATTTTTCCCGTACTGAATCGGTTCTATTGCGCGTGTCGAGTGAGAGGGACATTGGCTTTATTTCAAAATGTACTTTTTAACAAACTGAATTAAAGCCATTTCTATTTAGTTCAGTTGATATAAAAAAAATTGGTATAATATGTAAAGTACCTATTAAATATAGTCGTTTTCTTGTAAAATGTTGAGGTAAATTTGTGGTTTTTTCTATAGTAAAAATGTTTAGGAGTCGTGTTCTCATACCATATAGTAATCAGCATATATCCTTCCAAGATCCTGGAAATACTCTTTCTGAAACGTATTGCGCCAGAAGCGACCGCTGTCGAACTGATCCCGGAATACCAATTTGGCTTTAGACGATCTCACGGTACAATGAGTAGCTGCATAGGCTGCTAGAAAAGATTCACTATACTTTCGAACACAAGTTATATTGCTCTGCTGCCTTCTTGGTCATATCACAGGCCTTTGGCCATGTATGGCATGACTGACTACTGTACAAAATACGCTAAAATATACCCATAAACTACTATCTATTCATAAAATCTTATTTTAGTGAAAGACATATTTACGTTAAGTACGGTGTTACTATTATACTGTGTTATGGTTATACTATTATAACAAATTTCTATAACATAATGCAGGCGTACCACAGGGAAGCGTAATGGAACCGATGCTCTACCTTATTTACACCTCAGATTTGCCAAACATACATGATGTATTAACGGGAACTTTCGCTGACGACAATGCGGTTCTTGCAGTTGATGAACTACCGCGGGCGCAACAGCAAAACTTCAACAAAATATAAATATATCCCAATGGCTAAGAGATTGGCGAATAAAAGCAAACGAAACTAAATCACTTATGTTATTTTCACTTTGAGACGGGATACATGCCCTGAAGTAGAGCTAAATCAGACAAAAATTCCTCAATCCAATGAAATCCGTTACCTGGGCTTACTTGGAAAAGCATATATCCACAAAACGAAAAGCTCTTGATCCACAGCTAAGGAAACTATACTGGCTCAAAGGAAGAAACTCACAACTTACAATGGACAATAAACTCTTACTGTACAAGTGTATTCTCAAACCAATTTAGACTTACGGATTGCAGTTATAGGGCACGGCATCCACATCCAATATCGAGATACTGCAAAGATTTCAATCAAAAGTGCTACGTATAATCATTAGAGCACCTTGGTACATGATAAATCAACGCCTTCATCATGACTTGGCAATTAGAACCGTAAAAGAGGAGATAAAGCACTTGCTGGTTGCTTATTCCAAACGCTTACAAAGGCATTCTAACCTACTTGCAAGAAACTTAATGGCAAAACCGTCTAATCAAACATTTCAAAGATTAAAGAGACAAGCTCCTGAAGATCTTTTTCTAAGTGAAAATGTTTCATATGTATGTATATATATTTTATTATATTTATAAGTAGTAAAATTGAGGATTGATTATATATATATATTATATATTATTTCTTCAAAGCCATTTGGGTACGTTCCGTTTGAGGTTGTATCGACTCTTAAGGAAATAAACATAATGTCATATATTGGGCAGAACTAAATTACAATCTGAACTGTCTTAACTTAATCATTATTTCACTTTCGTGAGTGTGTATCCTAATTTACGATTTTTACTATCTGTATTTTCTGTTTTTTTTAAGTCTTTACTATTCACAGACTATTCTTTCTTCCGTGATCAATTTCATGTACTAGTCATAAGGCTCTTTAGAGCTGTGAATTTCATTGTTATAATATTTCATTAAAATAGTTAACATTTCAGTGGAACTTTCAAATTTTGAAATTGATAAGTAACTAATGAAGACAATGATATTAAATGACAATAGACATGCAATCTATGCCTCTGAACCATTGTCATTGCATTATTGTCTGTTGACAACATTAGTACCAGTAATTGCGTTGAATTCTAAGCTAATAGCTGTATGCTATTTGATGCAACAGGATTTTGATATTTGCATAACATGTGAAGTTGTAATTAGACTGGCTACGACAGTTTCTGGTGTTAAGTCTTTGCATCCTAAATAAGATTCAATGTATATAGCACAATATTGCTTGTGCATTGCACAAGAATTCTGAAAATAATAAGAGAATTTACAATTCCTCGATAGAACACTTTTAATCATTCAGGATAGACCATTGTCATAATTGAATAATATATTTATTACATTTATTTTAATTGATTTTATTTTTATGAATTTTTGTTGTTTTGTTTGAAATTTATGCATATCAAATAAAGCGTATTTTATTTTTTATTTTATTCATTTATTTATAACAACAAGTATAGTACCTATAACGTAGCTGCGCGGCTTATATGTGTGCACGCCGGCCCGCAACATGTACGGACACACACATTCGCACTTTCTAAGAGTGTTCTAAGTGTTATTTAGCCCGGGTCGTCACATGCGCCATTCGTTATAGAATTGAAGCGTTCCTTCGGCACTTTCGGTTTAGGCGTTTAAAAATGCTATCAAATATTAGACGTGTTTAATGTTGTGTTTATGGCCTATTAAAAGAGACTCCACTTTAAAGGACACGACTGTAAAATGGTTCGAGTTTTTATGAACAAGACTCAGTTGTTATACTAACAGACACGCATTCACGCATTCGCAAGCACATACAGACACTCGCACGCACATACAGCCACTCGCACGCACTCGCATGCGTACGACACATGCGCACTCGAACGCTCACGCATGCACTCGGAGGTACACGCACGCTCACGCATGCACTCGCGCGCATTCCTATTTCGTAACCATACTCCCATAATAGAGATACCAATGCTGGCATAAAAATATCAACCTACGTACGTATTGCATTTGACAAAGGTTATTTCAACATAGCACGAAAACACTCTGTGGTAAAAAACTATAGGTTTTTCAAATTATGTTTACAACCTGTACATACAAATAAAATAATAATGTGACAACCCTATGCTTCCGGAGAAGAGCAGGTATTGATGCGCCAAACAGGCGGAAGTTGCCCTACTCGTTCTTATTCTACTCTCTTCTTCTTCGTCTTATTAATCAACAGTTTCTAGGGTTAAGTCTTTGGATCCTAAATAAGATTCAATGTATTAAGGCAGAACAATACTGATAAGAATAAAAGAATTTGCAATTCATTTCATGGAACACCTTAGGATAGATCTTTGTCTTATTGATCAACAAAATTAATCATAATTATGTAAAAATAAGCCCAAATAGTTAAAACAAAAAAAAGTAAAAGCCAATTGTACATCAATCTAATGCCACACAATGGACTTTAATCATTTGTAATAAACTGTTATATATAAACTATTGTTTACTAAATTGTGATTCCATCCTTAATTTCTGTTTTTTTAAAATAGAAATAGAAACTTTGTGAAAAGATAATATCTTGCCACCCTTTTGCAATTATCCAAATCTAAGAACATTTTCTATAGATTTTTGAAATCCTAACATAAATGCCTAATGCGGCCATGCGGACTCTCAACATTTTACACATTTATACACGTTATCTCCACCAGTGAGACTATAAGTAAAAATTATTTCTGAACCTTTGGCACTGCTTGTGTCACTTAATAAACCAATTTAATTTTCACATAGTGACTTTGACAATAGAAAATACCAGACCAATCTATTTTTCTTGGAATTTTGAATCAGTTTCCAAGTGGTTTCAGATCTCTTTGAATTCACAAATAGGTTCTAAATGGCTGCAGTGATGAGGGGAAGTCATCTAATAATAATAATAATACAGATTTCTAAGAATTATTTGTAGGATTTCTACTTTATTATTGTTTATGCTTGCTGATCTCTCTTATACTGCTCGTAGTTGCCTACTGCTTGTTAAGGAAGTAGAACTATCACATGCAAATTACTAGTAGTTAAAATACCTTCAGGTCCTGCTTCCTCTTAAAACATTTCTTACATAAATGACAATGATAAGGTCTCTCGTTACTGTGAGTTATACTGTGGGTTCTCAAATTGCTCAAAGTATTGTAGGACCGTCCACATACTTTGCATGTAAATGATTTACTTGATGACAGGTGCACAGCCATATGTGCTTCCAGGTTCTTTTCTGTTCTGAAACTAAAGTTAAAAATGTAAAGACACAATATAATAGATATGGCCAATGTAAATTTTGATAATGCTAACCAGTAACTTACGTTCTACCACAAACGGTGCAAAAACCATTTCTTCTATGTTGCTTTAAATGGCCAATCAAATCATTTTTTAAATCAAATCCTTCATCACAGGTATTGCAAAGATACATTTTAACTGGCTTCTCTTCATTTGAGTGGGTCCATGAGTGATTTTTTAAGGCCAACTCGGTTAAGAAACTCCTCTTACAAGTCAAACATGGAAATGGTTTCTTATCCTCTAGTACTGGGTCATTTGATTTAGAATCACTTCCTTTTCTAATTAGCTTAATTGTAACATCTTCACAGGCAACACCATGTAAATATGTGACATCTACAGCATTTTCACAAGTTTCATCCGTAGTTGGAGATAGCATATCTTCATTTTGCAGAATCATCATAGGGTCTACACTAACTTCCATCTCTGTTATCTTTGCTTCTTCTGACTTTTCTGTTGTATCAGTTATTTCAGTCTTAATGCTATTGGGATCTATGACTGGCATGCATGTAGTAGGAGTTTTATTGAGCATAGTGCTGCGTCTCAATAAAGTTTCCTGTGCTTTGTGTGCAGTGTCTATAAAGTCACAGACACTTTGCAACTTATAGCAACATCTTATGCAGATGTTTTTGGGCAGTGTGTCATCTTCAGCAACCTGAAAATTTTCAGGCCATAATTCTGATTTTATTAATAGTTAATATGCAATATGTGTGCAATTAATAACATATCTATCATTGAGTGGACTTCCAGATAATTTTTAAGAAACAATCAATGTATAAAATGCGGGAAGGTTGAATTTTGGTTTAGTAGAAGTAGGTGCAAAAAAAACTTACCTCAATTAACAAGTATTTGTTAAGTTTATTTTGAAGAAGCAGTGCCTCAGCTTCTTTACTAAATATCATTATAGTTACGTCTTGCTCTTCGGCACAGAGTCGACAGCAGCGTTCGAAGCTTGCATCCGAACTTTGAGCCATAATTTAGATTTTCACTATTGTTACCATGTCCTACCACGTCTTGAGATTGCACTGTAATGATTTTTCTATTTTCTCCTTTTCCGATGAGTAGCCACGCATGCGCGTTTAGAGATAGCGCTGTGATGCCTTGTATACTTCATACTTATTGATATTTCGAGAAGGTATAACAGTGAACACCAATGCGCAAACTCGTACGCGATCTAGTCACTGTATAGTTAACTGCATTGCAGTACTAGAGAGAGTATGCTATAGAACGCCAGTACTGTATTTTACTTTTATTTGCATGTATAATATAATATTCCAATCACTATTTTGATCAGAATGTAAATACATACGGTACACTTAATTCTTAAATTAAACCACACCGCAAGCTCTAAATCAGCAAAATAAATAAACAATTAACGAATCAAAATAGAATGAATGGAATGTTACGACTTGTTTTGACATTACACCGGAAAAGCAACTGAATGGTTTGTTTGCACCTGCGTCAATTTTCAACGTTAGTTTAGATGCATTCATCAATTAAAAACTGCACCGTACTCTATAGTTTCAAATTATTACGATATTTACAGCTCCAAAAAATATATTATGCTTCTTTATTTATACGTTTTACTTGAAATATTAATTTGGTCTCAAAATTGTAAAAGAAATCGGTCAAAATTTTACGCAAACTCTGAAAACGGGGTCAATTTTTCTGTTCTCATTGTCTCAGCGTATTACTTCATGGCCTTGTTTTACATGTCCTATATACACAACCTCCATTAGAGGTCAGTGCCTATATAGCTCTAAGTGCACTCTTGAAAGCTTGAACGAAGGTAGCAGTCTGACCACGACCGGGAGAAGGTTCCAAATACGGGCAGCATTTACTGTGAACGAAACCGAATGTTTTTGGGCACTGTGTTGTGGAAGGCCGAGGGACAAATTGGTGCCAGAACGCAGGCGTTTACCCATAGCCTGACGTTGTTGAAAACGCTCACGTAGATAGCTAGGGGAAGTGGGATGAAAAAGGATTATAAAATTCTTTATAAAGAGGAAGCATAAAATGTGAGCATTTCTACGTAAACGAATAGGTAACAACTTCAAATCATCTTTGAACTTGAAAATGTGGTCGTACTTTTTCAACCCAAACACAAATCTGATACATTTATTTTGCAGCCGCTCCAATTTATTAAGAAGGTCCTGTGAAAGATCAAGTTAGGTAACGTGCGTACGAGCATAAATTTGGTAGACAGAGGGAGAAAGTACTGCAGCCACGTGATGGAATGAAGTGATGCAAAGATTTTACGACTTACATCGGCGACTTACTTCGACCAAGAGAGTGTCCGAATCCATTATGATGCCCACATTTTTAACTGAACTGGGAAAAAGAGTTACGGTGTAATTTAGAGCTAAATTGGGCATCACCATAGACTCTAACTTGCAGATGGATTGGTGTCTGCCAATATTTAGGGCTTATTGGGACTTTTGTGCATTTAAAAGAAACCTATGGACTTCTATGAACTTCTTTGCACATATCGAAACCGTTTGTAGGTCGGAATTCTATGTGCCGATAGCAGAAACACATCCTCAAGACGGGCTGCAGTATAGATTTGAAGATCATCGGCATAGAGATGGAAAGGAGACGTGAGTGATGATGTAATAATGACCACAGATAAAGACGGAAAAAAGGATAGGAGATAAAACCCCACCCAGCGGAACGCCATTACAAACAGCTGTGAATATCTAATGGGTCCGTTCCTCGGAGTATCGCAGCGCATTTCCTTCTGCGTCTCAGAGAATTGAAATTAATTCCTTATTTCAATTACCATAGTACAAAATATCCATTCACAAATTTAATGACCTCTGCCTTGCCGTCCGCTGGTTTTCGATGGCACTTAGTGGCTCATAAACTGTTTGGTTTCATTTGGTGTCGGTCAAAACAAATGCCAGAAGGCTGTTTGTTGAGAGGACAAAATGTAATTCAAAAAACATTCACATAATACTTATAATATAGTTATGCTTATAATATATTCTGTGAGCATTCCAAGATGTTCGATATCGTGCACAAGATAGTTTGGTCAGGAGAATTCGTTGTTATATTGTAACGGGCCGTGACATCAAACATCTTAAATCGTATTTGAGTAGTTTTATTAAGAAGGTCGGTGTCAACGGTACGATATCATTATAACGGATCTGAAATTAGCATAGGCGTCCGTCAAGGTTTCATTAAAGGTCCATTGTTACTTTTGCTTTATATTAATGACATGATACCTAACCTCATGGAAGGTATAGAACAAGAGACAGTATTGTTTTCTGACGATATTTCCTTATTTTTTGAAATTAAATGGCATCAACGTTCCTATGACGTCGTGAACAATGGTATTTTAAAGGTAGTAGACTGATTTATGTTTAATAACTTTCTTCTTAACGAGCAAAATACAAAATGTGTGAAATTTTTACCTTATGTTAAACAATCGGTCACAAGATTTTAAGACCTTCTACAGTAAATCGACTGGTAAACTGCATTTTAAACATTTTAAAGTTCACTCTCCTCTTGGACATTCCTCTGGGGTGATAGATGCTGAGTTCTGTTCTCGGGGTGAAGAGCCTCTGTTACATGTGTCTGCGGATCAGGTACGTGACACAATTAAGGGTATGACGAGAGGCAAGTCTCCCGGGCACGATGAGCTCAGCATCGAGCATCTCAAATACGCGGGGAACCATTTGCTAGGTCTCCTGTCCACGTTCTTCTCAATGTGTCTTAGTCATGCATATCTACCTGATGACCTTATGAAGACGATTATAGTTCCGATTGTGAAGAACAGGACAGGAGACATATCGGACAAGGGGAACTACCGTCCGATCTCCCTAGCCACTACAATAGCCAAGGTGCTGGACAGTATGTTTGATTCTATTAAAAAAAATATTTAAAATTACATGACGCACAGTTCGGGTTTAGAGGGTAAGCTCCCCCTCGCTCTTCAACGTATATGTATATGATTTCATTGTTGGGCTCAGCGGTGTGCGTGTCGGTTGCCGCGTGGTTGGTGTTTGTGTTAACAACATCAGCTACGCGGACGACATGATGCTGCTGGGCCCCACAGCGAGGTCGGTCGAAGAGACGCTGAAGGTCTGTGCTGACTACGCTGCTTCTCATGGTCTCCACTATAACATTAAAAATTGTGAATACATTGTTTTTAAGGCCGCCGGTAATAATCTTAAAGAATTCCCAGAAGTAACCATTAACGATATGAACATTAAAAGGGTAACTTCTTTCAAATATCTTAAGTACAATGCCGACATTGTAAGAGAGCGTAGGGCTCAAGAGGTAATATGTTGATCCGTAGGTTTTCTCGGTGTACAGAAGAAGTAAAAAATAACGCTTTTTAAAGCTTACTGTCAAAGTTTCTACACAGGGAGCCTATGGGTTGACTACACCAAACGGCCGCTGGAGACCATACGTGTACAGTATATTAATATTTTTAGGATGATGTTGGGACTGCCGCGTTTCTGCAGCGCATCGGGGATGTTTGCAGAGTATGAGACGGATGGTTTTGCTGCCATCCTTCGGCAAAAGACAGCATCCCTGATGCGCAGAGTGCGGGACAGTCCCAACAGCGTCTTACAAACTGTGGCTGGTAGAATTACCTCTCCCATGTGGCAAAGCTTCATGAGAAAGGTGATTTGAAAATTAATATAAAAAAAAATGAATCTAACTAACTACCTTATAAGCACTTTTCTTGTGATTATTACTAACAAATTATGGAACTCGTTGTCCGAAATAAAACAATTTTAATTATAATTTTTTTAAATTTTTAACAAACATTATAGTGAGAAATGGAAATGTAATCTTGTATACAGTTCTTGAACAGTTGCTCCATATTAGGATGACAGGAGACTATGGTAGTGACCCACTTTGTCTTCTCAGGTTGTTAAATCAAAATAAATAAAAAATTTGTCTTTTCCATCCTCTAAGATATTTCCAACGAATATTGTGTTTGATGAATGTCAGTTTTCAGTTTTGTCAAGGGAATCTGCTTTGCAGTACGAACGTTTATTTAATGTGAAGATTTTTAAAGTATTTGCTTACATAAGAAATAAAGATTTTTTTCCGTTTGGAGTGTAAGCACCAGTGATGGTGCTAAATGGTCTTTCATAAGCTGTTGAAATAACAGACTTCAGCAATCACTTGCTTACTTGATAAGATTGATGGTTCTTGAACCATACAAGACTTTTGCACCAAAATTCTCGTATATTTATAAATAGAGAGAAATTTAAGTAATTAATAATATCTACTACTAAAGATTGCTAATTTTTTAGCTTATTTTTGGTAGGTCAATGTTATTTTCACAAATTGTCATAGTAGAGTTCAGTCTTTAATTTTGCCAAGCATCAAATGTGGAAAATATGTGAAAAATATCAGATATTTTCTCAAAAATATCATTGTTTCAAAATAAAAAAAATTCCATAACCCAAGACTGATCTAGCGTAGGTAATAGTAGAAAAAACATTATTTTTAATTTTTAATTTTATTATCGTTTATTATTTCTATAGTTTTTTTTAGAAAAGATTGAAAATATTGAAATTACATTTTCATTTTACGTGAACGTATCTTTAACTATCAAAATCATACTCTTCATTCGTTCAATCATATTTCCGTCTCTCTTTTGGACAAAAATTGAGTTGAAAATTGACCCTTGTCGACATGTAATAGCGTCTATTATTGAGATAATTTTTCCTATTTTGACAATTCAATTGGCAGATGTACCGGATTACCGCGCAGATTATCAAAATGAAAAATGATGAAATAAATCAAATTGCTACTATATCTTTCTAATTTGTGATCAAATTACTTTCTTTGTGGTTCTGTTGAGAGAACATGATTTACTCCTGTTAGAGCAATTTTACTGAGTAAGTAGAATTAAGTAATTTTACTTCTCGATTGTCCGCGAGCACGTAAGTGAATTTTTTTCTCATGAATTCATGAATTTTTTTGTTGTTATTGTTCTTTGTTATCACGATTCATGAGTGCGATCACAGCGAAATTAAAGTTATAGTTATTGGTTATAGCCAGATCCTTATGGTTACATCTACTCTTTGGTTATCCAAACAAATGCAAGTAACTATGACAAAATCGAGTACCACAAGTTGCAATTAGTGTTCTTTATTTTTTTACACTACCAAAATATGATTTGTAGATTGTAGATAAATTAAAAATAGCCACGTTTAGCCCTCACTGACTGATCCACCACAAAACTTGTCCATCACTTTTAATAACACTAGCACAGAACTTTGTCATATAAATTATGAAGCATTTGACATGAAGATTCTTCGAAAGAAGAAATTAAAAATTAGTCAAGTGTATGTTTAGTAAGCAATTATAGTAAAGCAATTAAATTCTAGTCAATGTATATGACATTGACTAGAATTTTATTGCTTAAATGGGGTGAGTAAGTTTCTATAAAATTTGTAACATTGCAACCTATGGTGATGCACTTAAGACTGGTTGGTATCAAAACATGAAAAAATTGTTATAAGTAACAGTGACCATAAATAAGTATATAATCTTTCTTTCAATGGTAGTCTTATGGTTTTTCAACTCATGATGTTACAGAGTTCAGAAATGGTCACGTTTAAGGTGCTAAGTATGCTACTAGGAAAGATAGGTACTGAAACTTCTTTGAGTAATAGTTCAAGGTGGGCTCATAAGATTACGGAAGAATTGCTACAAGTATATATTGTAGGTTTTCATTTTTCGGTGAAGGCAAACATTGTGATGGAACCTGTATGTTGAAGAAGATTCACAACCCCCCAAAACATGTGACGTCTCCCCAACCTGCATTGAGCCAATGTGGAGGACTATTACCTAAACCCTCGCCCGAAAGGAGATCTATGCCTAGCTGTGGGATGTATATCAGGATTTATGTCAGGAGTGGTACATTTAGATGTCATAAAGTTTTCTGTTAGGACTGCTGCATGAAGAGGTTAAATAACTATTGAAAGTAGCGGTTATAGTATTGAATTTCTGAATTTAGTTTTACAATGGGAGATCATAGAGCAACTGTAAGCATTAAAGAGATTTCTTAGGTTTTCTGTGGCAGAGCTACAAGAGTCATTCATTATATTTTCTAGTACTATTTTGTCTTCTAGGGAATGTTTAACAGCCAACAACATAATTTGTATTAAACTATGACACATTAAATAATAAATGAGTATGTAAGGCATGGACTCTTAAAAACAGAACAATATATTTTAAAATATTAAATAAATAATGGGAACCTGAATATATATAGGGCCAAATTATTTTTGAGTATCGTGACGGTTGCGTGATCAAGGTACTGAACTTCAAATCATCGCTAGGATAACAATATAAAAAAAATTGTTTAGTAATTCATACTGGAAGAACAATTAGAACACCTATTGAATTAAATTTTTAAACTTAACTTTTCTTGCTTTTTCTTATATCCTTTCACTTCTTTGGGACATTTTATTGAATTGGTACAGGACATACAGTACAGTTAATTTCCCACAACTTGTTTTTTTTGTATCCTTGTCCAACCTGACTAATTATACCAAGTTTAAGAGATATAAAGCAACTGTAACTGTGAGTTCATTGGGATACATATTTATGTATTGGATACCATACTAAGAATGAAATGGGTGGAGATAGTCAATGTTGGTAGGTATTGTAGACAGGCAAAGCAAGGCAAGCAGCAATGGTAGTCAGGGACGGCAGGTCGGCGGCGCGGGGGCAGGCGGTAGACCGGTCTGCGCGGGTGGCGCGGCGGGCGGCTAGTGCGCGTGGGCAGCGGCGGGTGTACGCGGCGGAGGCGCGGGCGGGGTGTGCGTCAGTGGAGTCGACCGACAGTCGCGCAGCTAGCGCTATAGCACAAGTACGTCGGGTGGCGCCGCGCCAGCCCGTTGCGTGCTAGTGTTGTGTCACAGCGGTGGGCCAGGTCGGTTTCGAGATTTCGTTCGTCCCGACTGAATCATGGCTCTTAACACGGACGGTGAACAGAAATCGAACCTGGTCCTCCGCGTGGACCAGGATTCGGAGACGGTTCTACAGTCATTGTTCGACACAGTGCTCAAGCCGGACTCGAAGCGGCCGCTACAGGTGCCTCTACGTATGCGACAGCTTCCAAAGTCGTTCTTTAACCCGCCGTCGACCGGTTCCAAGTCGCCATCTGTGTCTCACTCGCGAGAAAACTCGGCTGACTCGGCATTCGGATCGTCGTCCGCGACTGGCGCCGCGCCGGTGTCACACTCTAGAGCACACTCATCGCCCGCGAGCTTGCAGCAGACTTACGCGGCGGGCCAGCAGACTCAGCAACCGCCGCTACACCACCAACATACCAAACAGAGATCCTATGATGTCGGCTCACATATTCCAGATGAACTGGGACCCCTCCCTGCTGGATGGGAACAAGCGCGCACTCCTGAAGGACAGATATATTATCTCAAGTAAGTATGACTTATTTATTTAATTGTTTATAGAGGACGGTGACCAACATCGTGTGCCTGAAGTGATTCTTGGGTAAGTTTCTATAAGAATAATCAAAAACGGAGAGGGTAATAATAATGGCACCAGGGCGTTGGTTGGTCATGAAAGCTTGTTTTAAAATTTTGATTTGGTCTACGATGTGTATTGAACGTAAGTAAGGTACCGCCGCTGTGGCGCTTTATTTCTTCGAAAAAGCTTTCTTTATCTATCAATAATTTAAAAAAGTAGGTCACAAAAGAACACCTGTCATGAAGACGCTAATGCTACACTTGCAAAAGTGGCTGGTATTGCAACTATACTTAATGGATAACTTGCCGTTAATTATTTTATGTTACATGTTTAGTTGTACCCACTTTATCTTTAATGTTGATGGGCATTGAGTACGTCACTGGGATTGTTTCGTGCACCTGTAAGGCTTCACCTGCCTTATTTATATAATGTTCTACATTTGTTTGCTTACTTTTTATCTAATCTGACGATGTAGTTATGCAGTTGTCATATCTATGGGAAGAAGTATTAGTAATCCTTTTAGGTTTTGGCTATGCCTTGTCATTATCTTCTGCAGGATATGTTTCCTATCCAATATGTAAAACTCGTATACAATTTAAAGTGTAGCCTTATCTGTCTTGTTGTCTGTCGTCACATGATATCTTATCTGGATCATAATACGAGTACCTTCCTTCAGTACAGAATGATAAAGTTTGATAAGACAAGGAAAATGAATCATTAAAATATACAATAGTTGGTGCGAACAATAGCTCCGTTTTGCTAGTTTTGAACATGTTATTGGTAAATACGGTCAATTGGCTTTTTTTTGAAGATTATAACGCACAGTTTTTTTCCATTTATTTATTTTCTGGATGGATCATGTTAAATAAATTAATGGTTAGAACTTAATCGCAGCACTAACTTTCCTACAGTATTTATAGTTTTAGGAACCTTATCCTTCTGGTATTAATTTCCTTTAAGTAAATAATATATAATAGAAATGTTATCGCTATATTATAGTCGCTATATTTTTTATATTAGATTTTTAGTTTGGAGGGTTTTTTCCTATTCAGGCGTTTTGAATACAGCTGTCAAGTCTGCATATTTATTGCACAATTTTCCAATATTTCGGTGCAGTACACTTTGCTATTAAAATTCATACTTTTTCCAATGGAAAAAATCATGATCTACATTCCATCTCTTTGTAAGTAGAAATCATCTTTTGATTTGTTTGTTGGGAATTCGCTAAAAATGTTTACAAGACGCAAACCGTATTGTAGTAGTAGTATTGAAATAAACACGTGCCCCACACACGTGATAGTGTGCCTAAAGTCAGATCTAATGTATCGAGAATTGGTGACTGTACGACTACTAGGTACTACATGTAGGTGGATTGATTTTAACGTTTATGTTATCTGGCGCCATTACTTTATAGCCACTTACGTGATTAGAAGTAGTCAAACTACTAATATTATTAAAAAGTCATATCCAGAATATAAATATTTCTTTATTTAACATTAAGTACCTATATTTTATCTTTCCTTAAAATTTATTTTGTTTCGTATGAGCTTCGTTATGTATACATACATTATGTAGCTTTGTAATGAAAAGTAATTGGTTACTAGATGTGCAGAAATATCGGTGTCATTAACTAAAATACTAATTGTTGGCCATAACAAGTTTCCTACAACGAAATTCTTTGTAATTTTCTGGTAATTTGTCAAATAATAACAATTCTCGTTATTGGGTTTGTAACATACGCAAGTGATTTTGCCATGATTTAAGGTAGTCCTCACATTAAATATTTTTTTATTACAAAGAAAAACATATTGCTAGAATTTCAATATAAACATCTTGGGATCAACAAAATTAACTTTAGTCAAAACATTGGTTTTGCAGGGGCTTTTAAGTACAGTAAGTACTAATATTAATAGTACGTAGTAATATTTCACCATACTTTCCATTCTATAGAACGTTCTGGAATATCATATCCTAGAATGTACGAAATTGATCAAAATTGAGCCATAGTATGCAAAGTATAGTCAAGTGCACATCAAGCTTGAAACTTTGGACCGTTCTTATCTTAAGCGGCATAGAGTTAATTTTAGCTCAAGTGTCAAGCTTGATGTGCTCTTGACTGTACCATAGATATCGTATAGTTTAAGCATTTTATTTGAAATCTAGAATTACTCTCACAATATTATGTCCTGTAATAAACTAAGTGATAGTGATATAATGAGTAGATTATTGCTTTTAAGATGATATTATGCACGTTTCGTGTATCCCAGTTCGTTAGTGCATATTAAGTTTGCCAACACGGAAGAGCTGAATGCATTTTGCAGTCACGCATTTCATAAGCTGTCTGAAAATATTGATATTCGAATATCAAAGGTATATTAATATAGAATGGTAGCTTGGCTCTGCTTCCCCAGTCATCGACTGCAAGGAGCTCACCGCGATGGACCATCGCAACCAGTGCGTCTCTTCCGTGTCGGCAAATAGACGTGCGTGTCGTTTCTTAATTGCGAGTTGGGTCGATGCTTTATAAGCTCCATAACGCCCGTCAGCTTGCGTCTCGGCTGTGAAATGTTTGCATTAATTATTATTGGAATAGAGGTAATTCTCTGTGGTTTTGTTCTGCTAGACTTGGCGATGTTCCGAAACGGGTAGCGATGCAAATTGCTTTGGCGGACGCCCAACGCGGCGCTATCACGCTGTGAAGCTTCAGCTCATCACACCTTCTGCTAACTCTTTGACCTGAAGTTTAATACCTCGTGATGCTAGTCTGCATATTTAATGTTAACTGTTCCTCTTTTTTTAACATTTCTCACTGCAGTTGCATTTAAAATAAACTCAAGTTTAACATTTCCGTATTTGTTATTAAATACTCCTATAAATATAGGACACAAATGTTACCATACGACACATTTAACGCGTCGTATAGGAAATATTTTAACTACATTCACACAAGCACCACAATATGTGTCGTGCATGGGTCAATATTTCCTTTTAAGTGTCGTCCTTTGAATCCTTAATCAGAGAAACTCTCGCTCTGCATACAAAAGAACGAACGTCGGCGTCCGCCGTCGTACGAAAAAAGATAGAGCTTAGGTTCATTCAACTTGGCTTTATTTAGACAAGCATTAAGGTTACCTTATATCAAGCGCCATGTATGACCTGTCTCGTAATTGTAAAATAGGCATTTTTACTACCGCGTGTGATTATTACATTATACGTAATGTACATAGGGCGCATTATAAGTTTCCGGAACTGGCCACTTACATAAACAATATTTAAAAAGTAATTACAACATTTGAAAATGGAACTCTTTGGCTGTGGATTACAGTTTGTTAGTTTTGTCATCTGACTGTCACTTGTTTTTATATTGTGGCGTCATTTTAGAAATGAATTGTCTACATCACCATGGATTTAACTCGTGAAAATTTTCGTAGTATGATTTTCTCTTAACTGTAATTTAACAACTCAGCGGAGCTTCGCTTGGCGTCAAACTGCTTTTGGCGATGAAGCACCTTGCAAGACGACTATTTATAGCTGGTTTGCAGAATTCAAACGCGGTCGTGTGAATCTCAGTGACGAATTTCGTGATGGTCGCCCGTCCACTCTTGTGAACAACAAAAACATCGATGCTGTGCACCGTATGATCAAAACAGACAGGCATGTGACATACCGTGAGATTCGGGCATCTTTAGGCATAGGCATGAGTAAAATACAATCAATGCTACACGAACATTTGGGTGTGAAAAAGCTGTGTTCTCGGTGGATCCCACACAATTTGACTGAGGCTCAAAAAACGGATCGCGTCACTTGGTGCAATACCGTGCTTACTAGATTCAACGAAGGGGCGTCAAATTTGGTGTGGGACACAGTAACAGGTTACGAAACATGGATTTATAGTTACGATCCCAAAACAAAGCAGCAATCGAGCGTAGGATCTTTCGAGATGAGCCGAAACCAACCAAAGTGGAGCGCGTGCAAAGTGCCTATAAGCGGATGATTGCTTCTTTTTTTAATAAAACTGGACACGTGGGTACTGTTGCTTTGGAGACTCGTTGTACCGTAAATAGTGATTGGTACACGACCATTTGTTTGCCGGAAGTTATTGACAAAATCCGTAAAAATAACCCTAAACGCCGTATCATCTTGCACCACGATAATGCCAGTTCTCACACGGCGAAACAGACAAATGAATTTTTGAAAGTGAACAAATTGACCTTATGAGCCATCCCGCGTACAGTCCCGACCTGGCACCTTGTGACTTTTATTTATTTCCAAAAATGAAGAACCAGTTACGCGGACAATGATTTTCATCACCTGAAGAGGCTATCGAAGAGTATGAAAAATATGTTTCAAAGATTATCACGGAGGAGTGGCATAAATGTTTTCAAAATTGGTTCATTCGTATAAAAAAGTGCAATAACGCTAACGGATAATTTTTGAGAAACAATAAATTTATTTAGGAAATGAAACTATTTTTCCGGATTTAAATCGCGTATATTTGTTTTTTCAAACAAACCGACGTTTCGGGCCCTTTACAGGTCCCATGGTCACAGTCAACCGTGACCATGGGACCTGTA